CCGTCCACGGGGGCAAAGTCCCAAAAGCTGTTAGCCGGGTGAATGAGGCGGTGGCACTGGAAGTTGCGCAGGGGCCGAGTGGCCTGCACTTCTCTTAGCCAGAGCTCACAACGACTACCTGAAAACTCTACCGCCTTGCACCCGGAAGAGCTCTGACACCTCTCTTTGCAGGTCTCCAGGTCTGTGGCCGTGACCACGCGGTAGTTCGCTGGGTTGTTGTCCGACGCAGAAAGGCCCCGGCAGACCCGATCTTGGCCTCCATCCGCCGGCTCCCAGGAAAGTTGCCCCTGCGGGCCTTCTTCGAAGAAGTAGGTCTGGATCTCTTCAAAAGAGGCCCCGTCCTCCCTCTCCTTCTGTGCAGCGAGGACTGCCTCATGGCAAGCCTCCCCGGGCTCCGCCGTTCGGCAGGTCTGCGAGAGCCTCCCGGCTGAACGACGCGTGTGGGCCTTACGCAGCTGGACGAACATGAGATCCCTGGCATTCTGGGCTCTGCACACCTCACCGGTGCAGGCTTCTTTGGCGCACAAAAGCCGAGCCAACAACACCAAGGTCACAGTCCTCATGCATGCAAGCGAATTACGAGCTTCCCGAACACACTCTAAGCCCGTGACAAAAGTGGAGCTTGAGCCGTTTTCAAGGCAGTTGACATCAGCTGGCTACACTTTCAACAGGCACAACATGTTATTCCAGAGTTGTCTGCGCTACTCACGACTCCAATATCGGTCATTTACTTGCAGAAACACGTCTGCCAGCATACCCAAGCAAGGTAGAAAACTCAAATGCTATGCTACACACATCGTCTATATTTTACCGTACACATATCCCAAGAAGTGCACGGAGGGACCGCCTTACCATGAGCCTGCCCATGGTTTATTTACTGCTGAGGGTATACCGAGCACCTTTTCCCTCTTGCGACGTGACCGTCCTGGGTCAACAGCTAAAGACGCAGAGGAACAAACACATCTTGCAGGGCTCATTGGACTCGAACTTGCCTGTGTCGAGCTATACAGCGGCAGACGGACTTGACAAGCTGAAACTTGAAACGTTGAGCCGAATTATGAAAGATGCGGCTTTGGAGTGAGAACCGTACTCGGCACCCGAAGGTACATGGACAGCAGTGCCTCTCCCTCCAGGCATCTTTCCTTTCAAGCTTTCAAAACTCAATCTCTGTGGTCTGCTGTGGCTGTCAACTTTGGATCATCTAGGTTCCAGTAGACGAATAGGAGTGATGACAAGACTGCCAGGTGGCTGATGTCTGTGACACTGTAGAACAACTGACAGCTGTAGGAACTGATGAAGCCCATGTTCCCGAGCAGGAAGATCACAGTGTACACCACAAACATGACCTCCTTGACAAATACGCTGGCACCTTTGAGAGTGGGCTGCGATGTGGTCCTGATGTGCTCAGTGAGGTAAACTAGCTCATCCGCAACTACCGCAGCATAGGCCACGCAGCCGAGCACGGTCAAGAACCATCCCATCCATGGGTCATACAAGACAGATCCGAGGCCACAGGTCCAGCAGTATGCTGCAGAGGCCGCAAGCTGCGGGAATATACGAACAAGGACCTCGAGCATCGGGTGGCTGTCCATGAGTGGGTAAAGGTTCATGAAGAGAACTGTTGGGACGGCGTAGGTCCAACCTATCCAGCGAGTCACGTAGATGGGCCGGTAGTCCGGGCTCCGTTGATTCTGAAATGCCAAGCCATATCCGCGTGAAAGCATCGTGTAGTAGCAAATCTTGACGGCAAATAACAACATCGGTGCTCTTGAAATTGCAAGTGCTCGCTGCCTGGGTAATAAAAATCAGGACCACTAAGCTACTTATAACCTTACATACGAAGTCCCAAACCTAAAACTTCCTTACAACTCTTTGCATACCTCTATAGAACCCCTAGAAGGCCTGGGTTTAGAGGAACACATCTCGGAGACCTGGAAGCCGAAGACCAAGGTGATGAGGGCCATGGGAATGATCAAAGCATTTCGGGTCATGCTGAAAACCTTTGCTGCTGAGATCCGGCCCAAAATAAGCCTAGCCTCTTCTGTCGTGTGGTGGTTTAGGGTTTGGGGTTAGGGTTTAGGGTGGTGGGATTACATAAATGCCTGAAGGCGAAAAGTTACTTACAGGCTACTAAGCCACCTGAATCTCATCTTCAAGGATCCCCCTGTACACCGGCCCCGCTTGCCAGGAACAGTGGGCGGCGAGGCAGGAGACAACTTGAAGGCCCGTCAGGATCACCTTGGGAACTTCTCAGCTCAAGGGTCTAGGGGTTTACGGCTTAGGGGATTAAGGTTTAGGGTATAGGGAAGAGGGTTTAGGGTCTAGGGTTTAAGGTTTAGGGAACTTCTCAGCACCCTAAACCGTAAACCCTCTTAGCAGCTTATGTGGCTTAAGCTACTATCCCCACATACGAAGGTCCCTCTGCCAAATTTTGAAGACCTTACCATGATAACGACAGTATATGACATGCAATCTGTACATATAAGCATATATATATATGCATATATATATATATATACATATACATATACATATACATCGATATTTACATATATAAATATACATAAATATATATATATATATATATATATATATATATATATGTACATATACAAATATATATATATATATATATATACATACATACATACATACAAATATGCGTATATATATATATATATATACATATATATGTGTGTGTATATGTATATATATCTATACATATGCATATATGCATATATACATATATGATATATACATACACATGTACATAAATATATAAAAATATATAGGTATGACGATATATACATGTGCATAACATGATTTGTAGAATATACATACATACATACATACATACATACATACATGCATATATGTATGTATATATATATATATATGTATATGTATATGTATATACATGCATATCCCTATCCCGTCAACTTGGCAGAGAAGAAGCCTCTTCAAGAACCGAGTCGCGCACGACTTCGCTGTCCAAGGCCAACGGCTCCAAACCCGGGACATCACCTCCCCCGAAGGGGGAATCCCGGCATGCGCATTCGCCATGGTACGCCTAGGCTCCTGCTAGTCACGCTTGAAAACAGCTTCAAGAGACGGATATCATACTTGAACAGTCAAGCAAAAAGAAGTGCAGTCGCCGCCGCGGAGTCCACGACAATCCTATGCATGCCCAGAATAAACACCGCTTCGTCAGTATGACCATCGTGCTACTAGCCGTCTTCATGTTCGTCCTCTTTTCCCCACCGCAAGCATCATCATTGCATAGGTTAGAACAACCATATAGCTCATGCAGAGTCTTGATGCTTGCCATGAGGCTCTAGTAAAAGCATTTATCGTCACCAACACAAGGAAAAGGAAGCAACGAACTAACAAAAGCAAACGGCAAAAGCAAACGCTGCTGCACTAATTGACGACGAGAATCGTCGCCATCAGCATGGTCGTCAGCGTCATTAACGTCAACATAGCTCTTTCTGCAAATCACTTCCATGCTTACCAACATCACCAGCATCATGAGTGATGTCCACAAGGTACTGCGGATCACTATCTTTCCATCGTCGTCGACATCATCATCGATACCAAGACAACTAGCAAGAGTGCTTACAAGGCATGGATAACAAACCCCCAATCCTAAACCCTAAACGCTTGATTATAGTATCTCTATTAAGAATATTTTAAATCTTTCCTATTAAGTTTTGTTCTAATTCATGAACCATGATGACGAAGACAGCAGGAGACCTCCACTTCTGCCGACACTGAAGTAGAACTTACAGCGGCTGTTCGGAGCTCTTACATTTGCCTAACTTGCAATGTAGGAACCTGTTCGGAAACCCTGGGCATATAGGGCAAAGAAGAGTAGATGATTCACATGAGGAACCCTAATAAAGGCCCAAGGTTTCTTAGTCAGGTTCCTTACATTATTGTGTGTTAAAGAGCACCTGCAGGAGGTAACGGAGCAAAACTTCGAACACAAAAAAACGAGTTGAACGAAGAGTTGCACCAGAAAAAAGGAAAACACTAATATTAATGTTGATACCAATACTGATTCCAATGCGAATACTAACTAACAACTGAGAGCCGTCAGGGAATAGTTCAAGATCATGAAATGCTAGAAGTGAGGGTAACAGTGATAGCAAGTAGAATGTAGCTACAGTTACCAACCAAAAGCATTAGCCGCAGCGGCATGAATCCATAAGACATGACAACAACACATCTTGGCTGGAAGAGTTTTAGACATGGCTTGCGCAGGCAGCCTCAGCGAAACTGACTCGGAAATGCCACAAGAGAACCGACCGGTGGACTGTGGCCGATCGAGCTTCGCAATGAGGCTGTTCACTCCAATGAACACATGATTCTTGAAACTGGCGCTTGTCTGTACAGGCCCTACTGCCATGACCTGGCGGTAATACTGAGGCAAGGAACTGCCAAGTGCGCGTCAGTTCCAGGCAAAGAGCCACAAGCAGCCTGAGAAAATCATAAAGGGATGCAACAAGGGAGTTGCCGAGAATAGGGGACGCTAGTATAGTAGCCTCTATAGTAGGATCCCTATTGCAAGGACCCCAAAATAAGGTGCCCGTAAGTTTCGCAAACTCCCAATAAAGGGATGCAACAACTTCGTTGGCATCTTTGCGGAGATCCGCAGACTCCTACGACGTCATCTGCTGGAACGGCGGTTCATCCATGCAAAGATCCTAAGAGCACGCCGGCCGCATGAAAATGCCAATCTGTGAATCTTCCAACCACAAGCAAGTTCGAGACATTTTCTTGTTGGCTGGACAGCACGGGATGTTCTACGTCGTTGAATCCAGGTTCACAAATCTTGTTGGCATTTTCCTGTATGGAACGTGGGACCACGCAGTTTGCGAAAACGAGGCTGCGTGATGCAGCTCTTTGCTGGCTCCTGCTCTTGGGAACGACTCTTGAAAATGAAAGCTTGAAACGTAGACTGAATTCCTGCAGAGGCAGTGCCATGCACATCCGATGTCTCAAATTGACTTCCGCACAGCGATGATGGTGCTCGTGATGGCCAGAGCTACTGATGCTGCGAGGGCTGGATCCCTCCATTGCCCTGCAGCTTCCTTGATACGGAGTTGCTCTTCTTGGGCTTCTTCGGTGAAGTTCCTCATAAACTCTGGTTCAGGCTCCGGCGGTGAGCTGTGGATCTTCTTCAGCGGCGGTGCCTGCGCTGGCTCTGGGTCTGGCATCCTCGTCTCAGTTTGAGCGCGCTGCATGATGCCTCGGCCGTCTCTCTTCCGGTGATAGGAAGATTCGAAGATGGCCCAAGCTTTTCTGAACCCGTAAACCCTAACCTCAAGGCGGGTCAACTCTGAAGAGCACATTATCCTGAATCGTGAAAAGCCCTGAAAACCTGACCTCAAGCCTAAGCCCTAAGCCTTGAACTGCCCTACACCCTTAGCCCTGATGCCCCGTCAGATGAGATGCACAGGCCAGGGCCTTTGAAGCCTGTCGGACGACGTAAACGACTGTCCGATGGGCCGCACAAGCAGAGCGAGCCGTCAGGATTGAACCTTCGATGACTACACACAGTCATTCGGGGTTTAGGGTCTAGGGTTTAGGGTTCATGCATGCATGCATGAATGCATGCATGCATGCATGCATACACAAATAATGGCATACGTACACCTCTACGGGCATAAAGAAACGATACACTTTTGGTTGAACACGGCAAGTCTAGCATGTTACCCACAACTGAGAGACATTGCTCTGCAATCATCACTGGCAGCGGAGCAAAATCTGGAGCACTGGCAGACACAGCTGGCAGGCTCTATCGGATTCTATCGAAGACAAAGAGAAAAAAAGGAGACCCTGCAACACAGCTGGTCAAGGTCTGAGGCACGACCTAAAGTACAACGCACGGCCTTAAAACGCGTCAGGCAACATCTGAAATCGGAGGTCTTCGTCTGGCCTTGATGGCTTTAGGAATCCAACTAGCCAGTTTATGATCCAGACATATTCCTATCTTTTCCGAGCAGGAGCTTGAAAATGTAGGGGATCGGCGGAGGCGACTCGTCGGCCCCTGATGGAATAACCTCGATGGGGAAACCCTAAACCCTAAACCCTAAACCCTAAACCGTGGGGCGGCCCACTCAAGGAGATAGGGTTTTTTTTTCAGGGCTCTTTTCCGCCTGCAGATAGAGCTAGAACTCCTGTACTAGGAGGAGATAGGCTTTAGGGTTTAGGGCTTAGGGATACACTGACTAAGCATCCCCACTACACAGGCAGGAGGAAGAAACACAACCGATCTGCGGATTCACTGAGGGCGATCTCTAAGAAAGACTACCCCGAACCTGGATGTCCAGCTGCATGGGTTCCACAGAGCAGTTCATGCGGAAGCATGCATCCAATGTGTGCTCCATGACCGAGATCTTGGCATGCTTGCAGTCGTGGTTGAACTCCACCTTCTGTGTGTAAGATCCCAACTCCTCACTGGTGGTGCCTTCCCACATGCCACAAATCCGGGCATCGAAGGCAGACGTAAGCTCATCGAAGCCTTGCACGAAGGCGCCGAAGTGGGAGAAGTTGCAGCTCTGGGAGCCCTCCCAACTGCCCTCTCCCTCCTCGGTGCCCTCCTCCGACGAGCCCAGGAGTGCCGAGGCTCCCAGCTTGTTGAGGTCGGCCAGGTTTGCCACGATTCCACCTGGGCTGAGTTAAACTTCTAGCTTCCTTACTGTGGCTTCTATATACTTTTGGCCTCCTTACTATAGTGTCTATATCCTTTTGGCCTCCTTAATATAGTTTCTATAGAAGCCCAGAAAGTTAAAGTCCTAAGAGCCAAGCAGAAGAACGGCAAGCCACTTTGAGCATCGGTGAAGGTGGTGGAGGTGGCAGAGGTCTGTCGCTCCGTCGGCTTGAAACTTTCGAAGCCGAGATCCAGCTCCTTCGATGCCTCGTCCTTCTCCGCCTCTATGAGGTTCAGGGTTTGGCATTTAGCGGCTTAGAGGTGTAGGGTTTAGGGCTGAGGGTTTAGGGCTGAGGGCTTGGGGTTTAGGGTTTAGAGCTTGGGGTTTAGGGTTTGGGTTTAGGGCTTAGGGTTTAGGGTTTGGAATTTGCCTCCTCTGTGAGCTGAATCGCCGCCACAAGGTTCCGCTCCTTTCCATGGCTCACAGCAGAGCGCGGCACCACGGAGAGGTGAAGGGTAGCATTGAGTCGTACCTGTGATGCTCCCGTCATCTTGCTGTGCAGAACCTGCGCAATGGGAGGCATGACACCTGCCCCACAGCTCCAGAGCCCAGAGGTCGTCAACGTCGCCTCGCTGAAAGCCTGCGGGCAGTCGGCCTGCCTCACCACGTTACGCAAGTACTGTGTGAACTCCACCTTGTCGCTCTGCTCATGAAGGAGATCGGCCAAGTTTCGGCCGGCGACCGAGTTCCCAAGCATCTTCTCCAGCTTCAACATGTCCCCGGAGTAGCTCTGAGGCAGTTTGCAGCGCCCCGCCGAATCCATCACACAGGGAAGGATGATGTCGAAGTTGCCACGCAAGATACTGATCATCCCCACATTGGAGACCGAAACTTTACCTGGGTTGTAGTTTTGGGTTTAGGGTTTAAGGTTTAGGGGTTCAGGGTTTGGGGCTTTAGGCGTTTAGGGCGTAGTTTTGGGGGTCTGAAAAGTTCTGAATAGGTACCTCTATGGGAACCATAAAGGGAAAATAAAAGGCTTCGCAAATTGCCACCTAGTTTCGAAGGACGTCTGTTAGGGTCTTGTGGTACTCATCGGCCCGGATGAAGACGAAGGTCGCACAGTAGGCGATTTTGGCTCCGAAGGTCACCAGGTAGTAGCCTGCACTCTTCTTAAGGAGCCTAGCTTTAAGATCTCATAATGACGAAATTCTAGGAATAGACAGATCCCAATCATGGCAACTTAAACTAAGCTCCTTAGCAAGAATAAGTAGGGTTTAGGGTTCAGGACAGCTCCCTAGCAGTGGCAAGAATAAGTTGGGCTTAGGGTTTAGAGCCCAGTAACCCACTTGCTCCGTCTCGGCTGTTATAGCTCCCACAGCCGAAGCCATGTAAATCGCACCGAAGAGCTGGAAGTGGATGATCCTGGGCTCTTGCTCGGGATATCAAAATGAGATATAGATACAGACATAGTATAGATATTACACATAGATACCTGCTTCCGCAGAGAAATATGGGTGGTTGTCAAAATCATGGTCCCTTTTTGGGCCCCCATTATACTACGGCAGCTATTATTTAGGATTCTGCAAAAGGGGCCTTAATTTTGACAACTGCCTATTTCTGCGAGGCGTAACAACCCAGAGAGCCCAATACCCTTGAATTAAGGAATATGGCTTAAATTATATAGGGGTTCATATTATGATTTAAGCCATATTCCTTAATTGAGGTCTACTAGCCGGTCTGTTTATTCTTTTGGGGGAACCATGAAAAAGGACAAGGCTGGGCGTAACAAAAGCCCAGGATCAGGCCATTAGAGAGCCAAGGCCTCACTCTTCGGCTTGGAAGATCCGCAGGGGCCTGGGTCGGCGTGATGATGGCAAGAAATAGGGTGTAGGTTTTTGCGCGGTGGGGCCTTAGGGTGTTAGGGTTTTGGGTTTAATTAAGGTTTAGGAGTCTGGGTACAAATTTCAAAACTTAGTGGTTTGGGGCTCGCGCTAGAACCTGAGTTTACTAAACCCTGAAGCCTAAATTCAAAATCCACACCACTCAAGGCAGACCAAAATCCTTTGAACCAGGGGGCTGTCTTCTCGAAGGCGCGGCTCCATGCGATCATGTCCATCGAAGCCTCTGTAAAAAGGGGGTTCGGTCTCCCTCAAGATTGCCAGGACACTTGAAAGCTTTTTGGTTTAGGGGTTTAGGGTTTAGGGTTTAGGGTTTTGTGGGGTGTTTGGGGTTCAGGGCGTCGGGTTGAGAGGTTTGGGCTCAGGATTCAGGGTCTGCGGTCAAGGCTTGAAGGTTTGGAGCGCTACATTACAGGTGGAAATATGTATGTATGTTTATGTTTATATGTATATACATATTCCAGAAAGTTCGAAGCTTGCCAACTCAGCTACTAGGAAGCCCAGCCGTACATGTGGAAAGCCGCGGTGATAAGCAGCCACTTCAATACTCCATACTCCGTGACTGTGGCCATCCAGGAGAGGATGATATAGACGTTGGTCACCAGCAAGGGGCGAGACACCTCACGCAATGGCCGACCCAAGCTGCAGTGCCCAGAGAGAAGAAACAGAATCGGAACGTTGATGCACCACTCGATGTAGCGCAAGGTGTACACGGGCCGTCCAGAAGTGGTAAGTCCATCTCCACTGGAGTGCACGTGGGCCAAGTTGACCTCCGGGAGAGAGAAATATCCTGGGCTGCTCTTTACTACCTTGCAATAACATTATCACCTTTAATACCCCCAATATCAACAAGGCTAACCCCAAAAGTAGTAAAGCTATAAAGTGACTGTAAACTTCAACCAAGTATCGCTCCACCACCGCCAGCCAGCCGAACATCAAAGCCAGGAGGAAGCTGGGCAAGACCCGGCTCTGCAGGTGTGGGATCAACTCTTGCGTCTGCCTGAAAGCGCCCCTAAACGGAGCAAAAGAACGATGCTTTCTTTTAAAGGATCTGCTCTTCGTGAGCAATAATGCTTGATGACGGCGATGTCGGTCGAAACGAAAACTTGGTTTGATTCCAACTGTTTGACACGACAATGCTGATCATGAAACTGCTTCGCCTACACGCAGTGATTCAACATGCTTTGACATGTCACTTCTCCACAATGCAACTCAGAACTGCAACATGTGACTGAATGCATGCACTAACTCTCGGACGGCAGGGGTTTGTAAACTGCACCCTGAACAAACTACGAGCTGATAAAAGCCGATGTACCCACTATAAGTCGATACACATTAGTGTGGGACAACTCACGTGCAAAAGGGTTTAGACAAAACTCTTGGCCGCCGGGCACACTCCAGAACTACTTGCACAATGGCAACAGTTGCACCACCTATATCCTAAACCCTAAACCCTAAAGCCCTAAACCCTGAACCCTAAACCGAGGCTTCAATCGCGCAAGCGACCCTGGGCCGACAACATCAAGAAAACGGTGCTTCTACATCCGGTCGAAATGCCGTGCTCCCATGTAAGTTGCGATGAGGCCGCAGACCTCATGACCAGACATGGCCACAAGCGCAGTGGAGGAGACGACATGCAGGTATGTGGGATACGCCTTCATTTGCGTGTCGCAAACCTGACGTGGTTGACCGAAAACTGCCACTCCCCATTTAGGCCGACAGCAAAGCTAAAGCACGCCCCTAAACCCTGAAAACCCATAAAACCCTACAAAAGCCCCCAAAGCCCTAAAGAACCTTACAAAACCCCATTTTACTTTAAAACCCTGTAAAACCCGATAAAAACCCTTTAAAAACAAGAAACCTGTAAGACCCTATAACCCTAAAGCGATCGCCGAGAAGCCTTCAAGTCTTGGCAGTTTTCGGGGCTTGCAAGCGTCCAGCACACCCACCATGTCGCCACGGTCACCTAGTTCATTGTTGGGATAGGTTTAGGGTTTAGGGTTTAGGGTTTTATTCCTTGTTGGGTTACCTAAGGGTACTTTATAGGAACCCCCATCAAGGGATCTACTTTTTGGATCCTCCAAAGGGGGTATGGGTAAGTGTATTAAGGCCAAACCTAGTTCATTGTTGGGATAGGATTCAAAATGTACATTTTTATTCCTTATTGGGTTCAAGTACCCATAAAAATGTAAAATTTCACCCAACTATGACAAAGTCACTGCAATCCACAGAGGCAGATGCCCCAGCAACGTCTTCATGATTGAAAAGGGGCACCCTATTCAATTGGGGGCAGCTAGCAGCTCTGAAAAACGGCTCTGGGCGCCTCATCGACTTCCCAAACTTCGGTTTAGGGTTTACGGCTTTTGGGGTTTAGGGTTTATAGGGTTTCCACACAGCTTTTCTTCGCATACGCAGTTTGATGCACAAGATGCGAGTGGACTTGCATGCATGCTCTATCCTTTTGCCGGTCTTGTAGTCAAGGCAGTTTTGCATTCCGAGAGACCAAGGCACAGCACATCCTTCATGAGCAGACGTTGCAAATACAGACATTAACTTCAACCGTCCTAAACCAAAAGCACGCGAGCAACTAACTGCTACAGAGTCGGTTGAGCGGAGCTACTTTTGCCAGAAAAGGGTACTACCCAACGGGAGGCCAGAGCCACAAGAATCTATTTTCGATCTGCCTGCAGGAATGATCTTCTTGATCACGGATGGATTCTTTTGTCTTACACATTGAAACTGCAAGCTTGCGTCGGTGTGACCTTGCCAAGCCCTGCATTGCTGCCAGCAGTCAGGAGGCGTGGAGCTTCTGTACAAGAAGTCTTGCAACGGCCTGGCCAGTCCGTATAGCTCCGTCCATGTAGCCGTGGCTCGTGTTTGAGTAGTCTGCGCCCGCAATCCAAATGGAACTGTCGAGCCTGTGATGGAAGAACACCTGCGTTCAGCTGTTGAGATCTGGGAGCTTGAGGGTTTAGGGATTAGGGTTCAGGGTTTCGGGATGAGGGTTCAGGGTTTAGGGTTTAGGCTACTGTTCCAGAATGGGGGAACCCGATAAGGGACTCGTAGTATAGTAGGAACCATATTATAGGGACCCGAAAACGGACTCGTAGCAGAATAGGAACTATATGATAGGGACCCGAAATACAGCTATTTAAAGCTCATTCCCAGAATCTAGCTGGGTGGTTGTCAAAATTAGGGTCCCTTCTTGGGTCCTTAATATAATACGCCACCTAATATTTAGGGTACCCAAAAAGGGACCCTAATTTTGGAAAACAAAGAAGTGCCCGCCTTGGATGTGCCCGGCCAGGAGGCTGCGAAAGCACCAGGTGAGTAGAATACGTTGGCTCCACCTCACGGGGGTCTGCGCCTCTAAAATCTTAGGGTGTAAAGTTTAGGGTTTAGGGTTTAGGGCTGTCTGGTTCTTAGTGGGGAATGGGGGAATGGATCCCTATAATGGTCCCTTAAGGGTTTGCTATAGTAAGCCCCCCCCTTCCCCCCATTCCCTACTAAGAACCAGACAGTAGGGTCTGGGGTACATACAGGGCAGGAGCTCCAATAGTTACGGATTAGAGACTGGGGTCTGAGATTTGGAAAATGGCGTAATTACTGTACTGTCTGGCTCCTACTTGGAGGGTCATGAGACTTAGTAAGGTTATAAGTGAGTTATAATTAGGATAACCCCACTTAGGGGACTTATAACCCCAATTCTAACCTACTTACTAAGTCCCATGATCCTCTAAGTAGTAGGGAATGGGGGAATGGGTTATAGGGACTACTATGAGGGACCTTTAAGGGACCATCGGAGGGAGCCATTCCCCCATGCTCTACGAGGCACCAGACAGTTTCAGGGCTTGTCCTTGTAGAAGTAATAGACAGAGCCCTATACCTACACCCCCTTAGTAGGAATTATTTAAGAAGGTCTACTAGCCGGTCTGTTTATTCTTTTGGGGGAGCCATGAAAAAGGACAAGGCTGCACCGGATCGGGCATCTTCGCTCCAATCTTTCTCCACCACTCGTGGAAACCCATCCTCAACTGTTCCGGAACCGGGCAGAAGCACTAAGGCCACGCAGGTTTCGGGCTCAGTGGCTAGCACCCAGGGTTTTGGGTGTAGCTCAGAAAAGGTGGTATATGGAACCAGCGAAAACCTAGTCTTTAGTTCTGAAGGTGTGGTTTCCCAACCTGTCTCAAGAAGCTCGGGCCTCCTAAAACGGAGCCTTTTCCGCAAAACTCTGCCGCATGGTGTAAGGTTCAGGTTTAGGGGTTTAGGGGCTTAGGGTTTAGGGATTCAGGGTTTAGGGTTTAAGGCTTAGAGTTTAGAGGAGAGTTTGGTCCCTAATTTCTAGATCCTACTGTGTTTATCGACCCTAAACCCCCTCGACCCTAAACCCTATGGCCTTCGCGGCTTTTGGCGTAGGAGTACTTGGAGGATCATGGGACTTTGTAAGTAAGGTTATACGTACCCTAATTGGGGTTATAAGTATAGTTACCCTAATTAGAAGCCTAGTTACTAAGTCCCATGATCCTCTAAGTAGCCCAGCGTCTTCCTTCTCCGGAGAACCCAAGGCTTCGTGGACCATGCTTTCCAAAGCTTCAAAGCGCACCTGGACCGCAGTTCCGAGCAGGGTTTGATGTTCCTTTCAAGGGTTGCGGGTTTAGGAGTCAGGGGGAGTTAGAGTTTAGGGCACAAAATCTAGAAAAGGCTAGGGAGCCTGGCTTAGATCGAGAGGTTCAGGATGTTCCGGGACCGGGCTTCTGTCTGCCTGTGGCCTTTTCGGAGCATGATCTCAGGCTCCTGGGATTAAGGGTTTCCATGCTTTCTGCGGTGTACCGTTTTTCCTTTAGGCTTTCGAAACACAAACCGGGTTTCAGCAGGAAGTCGGACCTCCTTTGAGAGAGCCTGCAGGCCGCGATTCACGTCGCCGGTGGTCATGCAGGTCAGAACTCCTGTCAGGTTTTGGATGTGAGGCTTAAGGTTTAGGGTGCCAGGTTTTAAAAGTCTAATCGCATTTCATAGTGTCTCTCAGCGTCTGGTGTCTGATGGTGTCTCATAGCTGCCAACATGTCTCGGGATGCTGCCGGAAAAGGTGCTCAGTTACCCATGATTCTAGAGCATTGTGCAGCCCAGCGTATGACCCCCTGCACCCCCTAGATCCCCCAACCCTACATCCTAAGCCTCAAAACCTGGCCAAGGCCGTCTTCAACATGCAAAAGGGCTTCTGACAAGAAGCCGAGGCTCCGTGAGACCCGGAATAGGGGGAATTGTCAAAGCATCGTTGAGCGTCCAAAGAGGGCAAGGAGTAGTTGACATACCGGAGTGAGCCGCTGTAGCCCTTAGCCCGCCACCATGGAGTCTTGTACACCAGGGAGTACTTGCGGATGGAACCAAGTGACCTGGATCATATCTGGAAGCATCTAGAAAGTTGACAGTTCAGTTATAGTTACCCTACGTATTTCCCCACTTACAACTAGCCATAATTGACAGTTTGATGCAAATGCAGCTGCAATTTTCGTCAAATCTTACAAGACTGCTGAAGCTGGATCGGGCCACAGGCCATGCAGCAGCTGGACGACTTCCTCTGGCAGCTTCGGTTCAAACTGGATTCCCAAGATCTGGTGAGGCGGAAGCCCTGCCAAAACAACATGCCTTGCAAGGACTTCCTCGGATGTATTGGTCACCAGAACCTGGGATTCGGGCTTGCGGAGTGGCCAAAGAAACAAACTTCCAACGTCCATTTTTGCTCCAATACAATGCTGTCCTGGTACTGGTATAGGGTTTAAGGTTCGGGGTTTTTAGGGTTTAGGGTATATGGGTTATGAAAAGAGGCTTGACAGCGGGTCCGCTTTTTCGCCCGGGAAACTTTCAAGTCCCTGTGGTGTTCGTTCTGCTTGATGGCCGACACCGCAACACCCAGATGAAGGGCCGCGTTGGGCAGTTGAGCGGCGAGGCGGCGTAGGGGGGCCTGGGGGCCTCCTCCTGGGTAGCTCTTCAGGAACGAACTAAATAAAGTAAAAGCCAGAAAGTTGGAATATGATTATCCTAAACCATTTATGGTAAATTACAAGGTATCCTACCCTGAAACCATATTCCAACTTTCTGCAGTTCCGTTTAGCTGGTTCCAGCATAGCTCACGAATAGCAACCCAAGCCCTAAACTGCCCTGAAAGCCTAAACCTGTCATAGACACACATGGTAGGTACCATAGCTTTCTCTTCCTATGGTCTCTGGAGCCCCAACTTAAAACCCAAAGCCTAAAATCCCAAAGCTCCAAACCCTAAACCAAAAATGCTAAAGAACTACGAGGGCTCGCCCATTTTGCTATAAGCATAATAAGGAAGCCCCAAAATAGTACAGGTAACTAAACAGGCCCCTATACTAAATCCTCAAAATAGCCTTTGTAGTCCCCTTTCGAGGAACCCTACTTCCAAGGGCCCCTATAATACCAACTTCTGCGGAAACTGCGGCTGAGACTCGCACTCGATATTGAACGCCTCCCGTGCGCAACCCGCCTCGGCCGGGTTTCCGAAATCCAAAAAAAAACTACCGTTTAGGGTTTTACATTTTGTTTGCGGGTTTAAAAGCAAGAGAAAAAATGAAACTGCCATTTAGGGTTTAGCTGTCTGGTATAAGGGACCCTTAAGGGACGATTATAGGGATCCATACCCCCATTCCCTCCTAACCACCAGGGAGGAAACTTGAAACTTAAGGTTTTTTTTGGGTTTAGATCTTGTTTTTTGGGGGGGTTTAGGGCTTAGGGTTCTGGGGCTTAGGGCTTTTATGCCATCATCTCCTCTTTGGGGTTTAGGGTTCAAGGTTAGGGTGCTTTGTTTGAAACCCAACCTCTCACTTGGGTCGCGTATATGGACAGAAATCATGACTTATAGCAAGCAAGGGACCAGAGGGATCGGATGACGAGGGTTAGAACCAGGCCCGGGGTTGAGGGATTCGAGTTTAGGAGGATCCAAAAATGTCGAGCTGTAAGGCTCACTTGAGGTCCTGGGTTTATGTCAGGTCACCGTTGCAACTTGCCTTCCAAAGGCAGTGCAGTGCCGAGATGTGCTTCGCAGCTTCCGCTTCCAGGCATTGGTCTGCCAGCTTGCTTTGGACGTTCGGAAATGCATCCTGGGCTGAGCTTGCTAGTTGACTTACACGATTTAGGGTTTTGGGTTGAAAGAGGTTTTAGGGTTTAGGGTTGCGTATAAAGGAATTCAATGAGATGACATCGCAATCTTGAAGAATGGAAGCTCAAATTTTCTGGCCTGGCCCAGCATCGAGCTTGTGATAGTCACGTAGGTAGGCGTCGTAGGAGAGTGAGTCGAACAGCTTCGCCTGGCCGCAAACTCCGTAAACCATGAAACCAAAACCGTAAACCCTGAAAGCCCTAAACCCTCCTACTACACCATGAACCCGAAACCTAAACCCTAAACCCTAAACCCCTAAACCCCTAAACCCCACACCCTGAACCCGAAACCAAAACCCTGAACCCGAAACCCAAAACCCCAAACGCCCCAAACCCCGCTCGCGCCTTGGGATGGGACAACGGCTCCGTACAAGGCGTGTTTGAGATGTCCTCAAACACCGCCGCCAGAGCCTGTTGGGCTCTGCTTCCTAGTACCAAAAAGCCAGCAAACCTTCGATCTTACTTGTCACCTACTTCTGGCCCAGCAAGTGATTCTAGATGCCCTTTCCACTAAGCGGGTGCGAAGTGCAATTCGAACGAACGAGGAAGTGAGTAGAGGCCAATGGAAAGACGCGACCCCCCGCCATCCCTCACTCCTTATCCCTACACTCTAATTCCTAAACCCGAGACCCTACCACCCGTGAAATCTTGATCTTGTTGCAACCATTCAAGGATGGGAATTGAGGGCGCAGCCTCAAACCTCAACCACCCAAACCCTAACGGGACGTGTTTGAGTGATTGATCTGCGGTGTATTCGCAGTGGGCCGGAATCGTGAAGAACTCGCTGCCTCGATATGCTCTTTGAGAAAATCGACGAATATGCCCTACCCCAACCCCAAATAACCTAACTTTTTGGGGACTTATATAAAGACATTATCTGTGGGGGCCCCAAAAAGATATAAGTTCCTTAGGGTCCAGGTAAACCCTACACCCAAGCCTCCTCAAAGGCCGACGTCTCTTCCATCGTCATCGGCACGACCACCTTCCCGTGCCTAGCTCATGGTTGGGATAGGATTAAAAATTTAAATTCTTATTCATTATTGGGTTTAAGTACCCATAAAAATGTAAAAAAATACCCAACTATGACAAAGGTGCATTGTCGAGGCGCTCATCCAGCCCTGGCTTGTGGAAACTCGGTCCGGGCAGCTGCCACCACCTGAAGCTTTCTACGGTTTAGGGTCTTAGGGTCTTAGGGTTCAGGGGTTTCGCTTTTGATGGTTTTTGGATTTTCGGGTTTAGGGTCGAAGAAGCCCCAGTAAGGAATCTGCCATCATGCATTCATATATATATATATATATATATATATACACATATATTATATGTAGATTTATATAAGAATGATGGGACTGGTAGTAAGTAGCAATGATGCCTGTCCAGCCTCCTTGTTTGCAACCTTACGTCTCAAGTCGTTGACAGCCGAGCCACAGGGAAACTTCTCCCAGCCAGCTTGCTGCCCGGGCTCATAGAGCTCAAAGCCCAGGTCTTTCAGTAAGGTGAGGACCCCGGCGTGCGTATCGTGCAGCCACTGGCCACCGAGCTCCTGGGCCACTTGTACAAGGAGCTTAAAGAGTTTAGGGTTTGGAGGATTACTCAGCTACCCAAATAAAGAAGCCATAAACCTATAGTAAATGGAAGCTATACTCCTGTTTACCCATATGTCCACAGCCCAGCTTAACTTCACCTGCTTAACAGCAACCCAGACTCAATAACATCATCGGCTTGACCTTGCTTGTTGAGGTCCTCGTCCAAGATTCGCCCACCTATTCCTGAGCCAGGCATCGGAGGCTGCAGAAAAAGGGCATGTGCTTTAAGTTCGCCTATATATTTGGCTTGCGATAAGCTAAACTACACAAGACCATAACCATCTCATACCATCCTATACTGCGGCTAACCCGGGTCCTCCTTGGCCAAACTTGAAACCCGCCCCTAAACCCTAACCATAAACCCTAAACCCTGAACCCTAAACCCTAACTTCTGAAAGCCCAGGAGCTCCTTCTTGGCGAAACTGGAAATCCGGGCGCTGACATGCGTAGAAAGTCTCCGAAGCTCAAAGCTGTCTGGTGCTTAGTAGGGAATGGGGGAGTGGATCCCCCTATAGTTGTCCGGAAAAAAACCCAATACTGTATTGGCTTCCATAATCCATTCCCCCGTTCCCTACTAAGAACCAGACACAAAGCCTCAAGCCTCAAACCTTACGCCCTGATCCCTCAACCTTGCCCAGACTCGGTGTCGTGCCTCAAACAGCCTGAAGGAGACGTTGGCCTTCTGCAACTCGCGTGCAATGGAAAGCCCAGCATAGCCAGCACCAACAATTGCCTGGGTCTTTGGGTCTTTGGGGCGTGGGATGGCTTCGGGTTGGGCTCAGTGCTTCGGTCTAGGTTTGCGCCTTAAGGTTTTGGGGACAGAAGGTTAAAGGCATCTGGGGGCATTACAAGGGGTGTATGCTTGGGAGATCCTTCATTCCCGGCTTAAGAAAGGCAAGCTACAACATCCACAGCGCTGTAGGGAGCGGCCTGTAAGGCTGCGGCCGCACCAACGTCTGAGTGCTTCTGCAAGAGGCTGCGGCTTGCGCACGTCACGTCCGCAGTTGCCTCCTGCAGCGTGTAGCGGATGGAGCTCTACCATCATCCGCATTTTCTAGACAGGGGGCTGCCTCTGAAGTGGGCTCCGAAATGCTGGAATTCCTTAAACACTCCGAAGGACTTCTTGAATCCCCGATGTAGCGGCCACTATGATTCTGGGTTGAAGCCCTGTCTGTCCCTTGCAAGAATAGACCTGTCACCAATTGTAATTTGGAGTGTTCTAGAAGCCTAAGCCCTAAATCCCAAACCCTACCCCTAAACCCTAAACCCTCTTTAACCCTAAACCCTAAACCCCTAAACCCCAAACCCTTTCAAAAACGCTGATGCAGCCACATCACGGAGCCCAGGGCCAGAAGCCAAGCGAGGCTGGCTAGTGCGCATCTCCCCGCTGTCGGGAGGCCCACCATTGCTTTAGGGTTTAGAGTGTGGGCTTACGGTTTAGGGTTTAGAGGTTGAGGGTTTAGGGTTTAGGGTTTCAGGCTTGGGTATGCCCACGCAAGAGAGTTTGCCGACGTCAACGGAACCGTAGCACAGGTACTCGTATTCCAAGCATTTAAAGACCACTTCCCACAGGCCCACATGGGCGACTCGGCCTTGGAGAACTCCCAAATGTTGATCATGTCTCCTTGAAAGGATGCCCTCCATGCACGTTTAGAGCTTAGGGGTTTAGGGTTTAGGGTTAGTGAAAAATACAGACAGGAGGAGCATGTGCACCGAAGGCTGTCTTGGTTGCATTGAAAAAGTTGGGGCCTCACCAAGTGGCTTCTTTCCAGGCTAGTGCAGCTCTGCTTGGTTGAATGTAGCGAAAACCGGCATTTGCCATCCCATCTCTTGATTTTCTTGTACTTCATGCACTAGCCTGAACTCTATAGTCTACGACTACTACTACTACTACTACTACTACTACGACTACTACTACTACTACTACTACTACTACTACTACTACTACAGGACCCTAGGTCCTACAACCCCCCGGAAAAATCCAAGGGCGACGGAAGATGAGGGTAAAGTGACCATGCTCTTGAGCCATTCGGGGCGAGCGCCGAGCCTAAAGATCTGCAAGAGGATTAGGGTTTATAGGGTTTAGGGTTTGGGGTTTAGGGTTTAGGGTTTAGGGTTTAGGGGTTTAGGGTTTAGGGGTTTAGGGTGTAGGGTTTAGGTCGGTTTAGGGTTTAGGGTTTGGGGTCTTGGGTGACGAGCGGAATGATTACGATTGCGACTCTTCAGATGCAAACGAGCGCCAGAACCTGTTTTTCTGCTCTTGCAAACTTTGAAGATTTGAAACAAGGCTGCTGGTCGGGAACTCCTTGGAAACTTTTGCAGCTTTGGGTCAACGCTTCGGCACAGACGCCGAAGCTTCGAAGTCATGGCGCGGCATGACTCTCAGGCCCTCAGAAAACCTGGCCAAGCCTTAGAAATGCAGACAGCGGCCGGCGAATGCACGAGAAAGCAAGCTGACGAACCCTCGTCACACTCCGCTCCCTGAGGCCGCAACATGCCGCAACGCTCAGCGGCAGGGAGGGGGAGCGGGATTAGGAGGAGGAGGAGGAGACGGACCAGTGAAACATCCGCAGCCACAGCTGCAACCGCATCCGCATCCGCATCCGCATCCGCATATCTTGGGCAAGTTGGACAGTGGCCGCGGAAAGCAAACCCAGAGAACCCACAACAACAACTCACAAGCTTCTGAATTGCAGCGGCGAGGGGCACAAAGTGCCACATCCTCCTTGGCCCATGCGTCCTCGTTAACGCGACCGTAGAAGTCGCAAATCTGCATCTTGGTACTGACGAACATGTTGTCCATGGAGGATTTCTGCTCCTGCAGGCCCTGCTCGTTTAGGAGAAGGTTGGCCGGCTCGTGATGGAGGAAGTGGCCGAAGAGCGCCTGCGTGTCCGCGGCGTAGTTCTTGGTGTTCAAGATGTGGGCGTGCCAGGCATCATCCACCTTCTTCGACGGCACTGGCTGCAGGCCGGTGCCCACCAGCGCCAGGTACTTGCGGTACTCCTCTGCAAGCTCTGCTGCCTTCGTGGGCGAGTAGCCGTCCCTCTGCACCAGGACGGCAACCACGGCGGCCATATCCAGCGCTTTGACCTTCTCGGCAGAGGCGTTGAACCTGCGCATCTGCTGCAGCGACGGCTGGCTCCCCGATTGCTGGCACTCTGTGTGCTCAGTCGTGCCTGCAGCTCCAGCGCAAACGGATCTGCCGAGGTGACTACTTATGATTTGGCAGAAGTCTACAAGAACTGAATACTTCTGCAAGGCACCCGCACTCTGCGTCAAGCTTGCGACGCCAGTCAAGCCGCTGTCGTGCAAGTCAGCAGTGTCGTCCCGCAGGTCGCCCGTCCAGACCTTGATGTTCTGGATCTTGCCGTCGGGGTTCACCTCGAAAATCAGGATTCCCATGCGCGCGTGGGGCATGCTGTGCGAAACCTCGATCATGAAGGCACCTCCGTCCACAGACAAAAATTCTCGAGCCGAGTCGGCAGGCTCATAGCCCTGGAAGAAAGCCATCACCTCAGCCTTTCCCTGGTATACGATCGGATCATCCAAGACGTTCTGCGCCACCAGGGTCAGGCGTGCGTCGGACGCTAGGAGCGCTTCTTTGGGATCTGGCTCGTTCAGGCTCTGCATCCACGCCTCCATGGCAGCTTTGGTCACACCGGCATCAGTCTGCCCGGCCTGGCCCACCGCCTGAGACAACTGTCACTTTAGAATCTTTCAAAATTCAGGATTCGGTCACAGCCGCATCGACAAGTCATGTCTCCACGAAGCCTGCACAACCCCAAAGGCCACTGAAACCTTTTCACGATACAAGTGTGTTCAGCTGCTCTCTGCTGAGATCCTGGCTTGCACTCCATTTGCGACCTCCGTCAGCCCCGTGTCGTTGAAATCTGTCGTGTCGTTTCTGAAAGTCCCCATCCAAACTTTGATGTCGAAGATCTTTCCTTCTCCGTTCACCTCGAAGATGTCGGCTCCCATGCGGCGAAGACGAGTGTCCCTCATCCTCTCAATGGCAAAGGCGCCAGGCTCAACGGAGAGGAATTCACGCGCCGTGAAGGCATGCCCCATTGTGTGGAAAAAGGACAGGACGTCATCAATGCCATCATACGTAGTGGCTCTGTCCAAATGCTGCGAAGTCACCATCAAGTGCACGTCCTCTGTCACAAGCTCATGACGCCAAAGAATTTTGTCGTTGATGTGCTCCAGCCACGCCTCCATCGTGGCCTTGGCTGCCTCAGCGATGTCCGTGCTCTGGGACAAAGCGACTGGCTTTGGTGCCTTCGAGGGCTTGGCCCAAACAAGTGGGTCCACCCTGCCGAAGTAGTCGCAGATCTGCTGCTTCGTTTGCTCCAGACGGCCCTCGTCCATTTGCCGGTTGAGGGGGTCGTGCTCCAAAAAGTGGCCGAAGACCGTCTCGCAGTCCTGCTCGTACATTTTCGTGTACCTAGTCGCTGGTCTGGCGTCCAAACACCCGAGCGCGGCCAAAACCAATAAGAAACCTACCTGAAACACCTGGCCATGCCTAGCAAAAAGAACATGCAAAAAACACCTGCATGTTCAGGGCTGGCGGCATGACGTGGGCCTGCCATGCATCAAGGACCATCTTGGAGGCCAAGGGTGTCTTGTCCATGCCCATCAACACGAGGAACTTCCGGTACTCGTCAGCGGCCCTCTTTGCCTTCTCGACTTTGTAGTCCCCCTTCTCGACCAGGCGGGCGATGACTGCATCCAGGTCCAGGGCGGAGGTTTTTCGGGACAGAAGCTCGAACTTTGCCCTATTCTCGCCCACCAGCGCAGCTCCTCAGAAACGGTGATTCCGGCTGAGGCTGAAAAAGACTCTTATATACAGCCTTACAGCATGACAAGAAGGCAGAAGAAGCAGAGCTCCTGTCGTCGGGTGGCATTCAGAGCCTTTTGGAGGCTCACGCGCTTGCATCTTCGACTCGGCGAGGAACTTCTGCAGCTTCTCCAACTTCTTCCTTTTCTCAACCTTCTTCTTCTCCTTGGGCTTCAATGTCTTTGCGGTGTCCGGGGGCGCTTCCGTCGTCTCCTCTGGCAGCACGGCGTGAGATGAGCCCAGGCGTTGCTGGATAAGGCTCCCGGACTGGCATGCTTCGCCTTCCGCTCCGGCAACGGTCTCAGCGGAAACCGTCAAGAAAGCGGTCAAGACAGCCACGATGCACGCAGCTTTCATGGCGATGATGTATCCGAGCTGGATACGCGGTAGGTGAGGGAAAGATGACAAGGCGGAATGCGAGATCTTGCTCGAGCCCGGACACGAGCACAAGAATTGAATCCCGTATAATCCCGTACCAAGTGATTCAGCAGGGGATGGGGAGGGATGGGGGGGGATCCGCAGTGATCTGTGCCAAGCGATAAGCGGCAAAACAGGAAATGCATAACGTGTCAATTTTGAGCCCTGGCGATTTCGACTCTCCCGATGCAGGTGAGCGCCAGAACTTTCTTTTCTGCTGCCAGCGGGAACTCCTTGCAAACTTCGAAGCTTTGAAACAAGGCTGCCAGCGGGAACTCCTTGGAAACTTTGCAGCTTTCAAAAAAGGCTGCTAGTCGGGAACTCCCTGGAAACTTTTGCAGCTTTGATCAAATCTTCGGCACAGACGCCGAAGCTTCGAAGTCATGGCGCGGCATGACTCTCAGGCCCTCAGAAACCTGGCCAAGCCTCAGAAACGCAGACAGCGGCCGGCGAATGCACGAGAAAGCAAGCTGAAGAACCCTCGCCACACTCCGCTCCCTGAGGCCGCAACATGCCGCAACGCTCAGCGGCAGGGAGGGGGAGCGGGATTAGGAGGAGGAGGAGGCGACGGACCAGTGACACATCCGCAGCCACAGCTGCAACCGCATCCGCATCCGCATCCGCATCCGCACATCTTGGACAAGTTGGACAGTGGCCGCGGAAAGCAAACCCAGAGAACCCACAACAACAACTCACAAGCTTCTGAATTGCAGCGGCGAGGGGCACAAAGTGCCACATCCTCCTTGGCCCATGCGTCCTCGTTAACGCGACCGTAGAAGTCGCAAATCTGCATCTTGGTACTGACGAACATGTTGTCCATGGAGGATTTCTGCTCCTGCAGGCCCTGCTCGTTTAGGAGAAGGTTGGCCGGCTCGTGATGGAGGAAGTGGCCGAAGAGCGCCTGCGTGTCCGCGGCGTAGTTCTTGGTGTTCAAGATGTGGGCGTGCCAGGCATCATCCACCTTCTTCGACGGCACTGGCTGCAGGCCGGTGCCCACCAGGGCCAGGTACTTGCGGTACTCCTCTGCAAGCTCTGCTGCCTTCGTGGGCGAGTAGCCGTCCCTCTGCACCAGGACGGCAACCACGGCGGCCATATCCAGCGCTTTGACCTTCTCGGCAGAGGCGTTGAACCTGCGCATCTGCTGCAGCGACGGCTGGCTCCCCGATTGCTGGCACTCTGTGTTCTCAGTCGTGCCTGCAGCTCCAGCGCAAACGGATCTACCAAGGTGACTACTTATGATTTGGCAGAAGTCTACAAGAACTGAACACTTCTGCAAGGCACCCGCAGTCTGCGTCAAGCTTGCGACGCCAGTCAAGCCGCTGTCGTGCAAGTCAGCAGTGTCGTCCCGCAGGTCGCCCGTCCAGACCTTGATGTTCTGGATCTTGCTGTCGGGGTTCACCTCGAAAATCAGGATTCCCATGCGCGCGTGGGGCATGCTGTGCGAAACCTCGATCATGAAGGCACCTCCGTCCACAGACAAAAATTCTCGAGCCGAGTCGGCAGGCTCATAGCCCTGGAAGAAGTTCATCACCTCAGCCTTTCCCTGGTATACGATCGGATCATCCAAGACGTTCTGCGCCACCAGGGTCAGGCGTGCGTCGGACGCTAGGAGCGCTTCTTTGGGATCGGGCTCGTTCAGGCTCTGCATCCACGCCTCCATGGCAGCTTTGGTCACACCGGCATCAGTCTGCCCGGCCTGGCCCACCGCCTGAGACAACTGTCACTTTAGAATCTTTCAAAATTCAGGATTCGGTCACAGCCGCATCGACAAGTCATGTCTCCACGAAGCCTGCACAACCCCAAAGGCCACTGAAACCTTTTCACGATACAAGTGTGTTCAGCTGCTCTCTGCTGAGATCCTGGCTTGCACTCCATTTGCGACCTCCGTCAGCCCCGTGTCGTTGAAATCTGTCGTGTCGTTTCTGAAAGTCCCCATCCAAACTTTGATGTCGAAGATCTTTCCTTCTCCGTTCACCTCGAAGATGTCGGCTCCCATGCGGCGAAGACGAGTGTCCCTCATCCTCTCAATGGCAAAGGCGCCAGGCTCAACGGAGAGGAATTCACGTGCCGTGAAGGCATGCCCCATTGTGTGGAAAAAGGACAGGACGTCATCAATGCCATCATACGTAGTGGCTCTGTCCAAATGCTGCGAAGTCACCATCAAGTGCACGTCCTCTGTCACAAGCTCATGACGCCAAAGAATTTTGTCGTTGATGTGCTCCAGCCACGCCTCCATCGTGGCCTTGGCAGCCTCAGCGATGTCCGTGCTCTGGGACAGAGCGACAGGCTTCGGTGCCTTCGAGGACTTGGCCCAAACAAGTGGGTCCACCCTGCCGAAGTAGTCGCAGATCTGCTGCTTCGTTTGCTCCAGACGGCCCTCGTCCATTTGCCGGTTGAGGGGGTCGTGCTCCAAAAAGTGGCCGAAGACCGTCTCGCAGTCCTGCTCGTACATTTTCGTGTACCTAGTCGCTGGTCTGGCGTCCAAACACCCGAGCGCGGCCAAAACCAATAAGAAACCTACCTGAACATTATGAAACATCAGCATGCGGCAAACACAGAGAGAAAACATTAAAAACAAAAGGCATTTTCACGGCTGGCGGCATGACGTGGGCCTGCCATGCATCAAGGACCATCTTGGAGGCCAAGGGTGTCTTGTCCATGCCCATCAACACGAGGAACTTCCGGTACTCGTCAGCGGCCCTCTTTGCCTTCTCGACTTTGTAGTCCCCCTTCTCGACCAGGCGGGCGATGACTGCATCCAGGTCCAGGGCGGAGGTTTTTTGGGACAGAAGCTCGAACTTTGCCCTGCTCTCGCCCACCAGCGCAGCTCCTCAGAAGGGTGATTCCGGCTCAAAAGACTCTTACAGCCTTACAGCATGGCAAGAAGGCAGAAGAAGCAGAGCTCCTGTCGTCGGGTGGCATTCAGAGCCTTTTGGAGGCTCACGCGCTTGCATCTTCGACTCGGCGAGGAACTTCTGCAGCTTCTCCAACTTCTTCCTTTTCTCAACCTTCTTCTTCTCCTTGGGCTTCAATGTCTTTGCGGTGTCCGGGGGCGCTTCCGTCTCCTCTGGCAGGACGGCGTGAGATGAGCCCAGGCGTTGCTGGATAAGGCTCCCGGACTGGCATGCTTCGCCTTCTACTCCGGCAACGGTCTCAGCGGAAACCGTCAAGACAGCCGTCAAGACAGCCGCGATGCACGCAGCTTTCATGGCCATGATGTATCCGAGCTGGATACGCGGTAGGTGAGGGAAAGATGACAGGGCGGAATGCGAGATCTTGCTCGAGCCCGGACACGAGCACAAGACCTGAATCCCCTACAAAGTGACTCAGCAGGGGATGGGGAGGGATGGCGAGGGATCCGCAGTGATCTGTGCCAAGCGATAAGCGGCAAAACAGGAAATGCATAACGTGTCAATTTTGAGCCCTGGCGCTTTGGATTCTTCAGATGCAAGTGAGCGCCAGAACTTTCTTTTCTGCTGCCAGCGGGAACTCCTTGCAAACTTCGACGCTTTGAAACAAGGCTGCCAGCGGGAACTCCTTTGAAACTTTGCAGCTTTCAAAAAAGGCTGCTAGTCGGGAACTCCCTGGAAACTTTTGCAGCTTTGAATCAAATCTTCGGCACAGACGCCGAAGCTTCGAAGTCATGGCGCGGCATGACTCTCAGGCCCTCAGAAACCTGGCCAAGCCTCAGAAACGCAGACAGCGGCCGGCGAATGCACGAGAAAGCAAGCTGAAGAACCCTCGCCACACTCCGCTCCCTGAGGCCGCAACATGCCGCAACGCTCAGCGGCAGGGAGGGGGAGCGGGATTAGGAGGAGGAGGAGGCGACGGACCAGTGACACATCCGCAGCCACAGCTGCAACCGCATCCGCATCCGCATCCGCATCCGCACATCTTGGACAAGTTGGACAGTGGCCGCGGAAAGCAAACCCAGAGAACCCACAACAACAACTCACAAGCTTCTGAATTGCAGCGGCGAGGGGCACAAAGTGCCACATCCTCCTTGGCCCATGCGTCCTCGTTAACGCGACCGTAGAAGTCGCAAATCTGCATCTTGGTACTGACGAACATGTTGTCCATGGAGGATTTCTGCTCCTGCAGGCCCTGCTCGTTTAGGAGAAGGTTGGCCGGCTCGTGATGGAGGAAGTGGCCGAAGAGTGCCTGCGTGTCCGCGGCGTAGTTCTTGGTGTTCAAGATGTGGGCGTGCCAGGCATCATCCACCTTCTTCGACGGCACTGGCTGCAGGCCGGTGCCCACCAGGGCCAGGTACTTGCGGTACTCCTCTGCAAGCTCTGCTGCCTTCGTGGGCGAGTAGCCGTCCCTCTGCACCAGGACGGCAACCACAGGGGCCATATCCAGCGCTTTGACCTTCTCGGCAGAGGCGTTGAACCTGCGCATCTGCTCCAGCGACGGCTGGCTCCCCGATTGCTGGCACTCTGTGTTCTCAGTCGTGCCTGCAGCTCCAGCGCAAACGGATCTACCAAGGTGACTACTTATGATTTGGCAGAAGTCTACAAGAACTGAACACTTCTGCAAGGCACCCGCAGTCTGCGTCAAGCTTGCGACGCCAGTCAAGCCGCTGTCGTGCAAGTCAGCAGTGTCGTCCCGCAGGTCGCCCGTCCAGACCTTGATGTTCTGGATCTTGCTGTCGGGGTTCACCTCGAAAATCAGGATTCCCATGCGCGCGTGGGGCATGCTGTGCGAAACCTCGATCATGAAGGCACCTCCGTCCACAGACAAAAATTCTCGAGCCGAGTCGGCAGGCTCATAGCCCTGGAAGAAGTTCATCACCTCAGCCTTTCCCTGGTATACGATCGGATCATCCAAGACGTTCTGCGCCACCAGGGTCAGGCGTGCGTCGGACGCTAGGAGCGCTTCTTTGGGATCTGGCTCGTTCAGGCTCTGCATCCACGCCTCCATGGCAGCTTTGGTCACACCGGCATCAGTCTGCCCGGCCTGGCCCACCGCCTGAGACAACTGTCACTTTAGAATCTTTCAAAATTCAGGATTCGGTCACAGCCGCATCGACAAGTCATGTCTCCACGAAGCCTGCACAACCCCAAAGGCCACTGAAACCTTTTCACGCTACAAGTATGTTCAGCTGCTCTCTGCTGAGATCCTGGCTTGCACTCCATTTGCGACCTCCGTCAGCCCCGTGTCGTTGAAATCTGTCGTGTCGTTTCTGAAAGTCCCCATCCAAACTTTGATGTCGAAGATCTTTCCTTCTCCGTTCACCTCGAAGATGTCGGCTCCCATGCGGCGAAGACGAGTGTCCCTCATCCTCTCAATGGCAAAGGCGCCAGGCTCAACGGAGAGGAATTCACGTGCCGTGAAGGCATGCCCCATTGTGTGGAAAAAGGACAGGACGTCATCAATGCCATCATACGTAGTGGCTCTGTCCAAATGCTGCGAAGTCACCATCAAGTGCACGTCCTCTGTCACAAGCTCATGACGCCAAAGAATTTTGTCGTTGATGTGCTCCAGCCACGCCTCCATCGTGGCCTTGGCAGCCTCAGCGATGTCCGTGCTCTGGGACAGAGCGACAGGCTTCGGTGCCTTCGAGGACTTGGCCCAAACAAGTGGGTCCACCCTGCCGAAGTAGTCGCAGATCTGCTGCTTCGTTTGCTCCAGACGGCCCTCGTCCATTTGCCGGTTGAGGGGGTCGTGCTCCAAAAAGTGGCCGAAGACCGTCTCGCAGTCCTGCTCGTACATTTTCGTGTACCTAGTCGCTGGTCTGGCATCCAAACACCCGAGCGCGGCCAAAACCAATAAGAAACCTACCTGAACATTATGAAACATCAGCATGCGGCAAACACAGAGAGAAAACATTAAAAACAAAAGGCATTTTCACGGCTGGCGGCATGACGTGGGCCTGCCATGCATCAAGGACCATCTTGGAGGCCAAGGGTGTCTTGTCCATGCCCATCAACACGAGGAACTTCCGGTACTCGTCAGCGGCCCTCTTTGCCTTCTCGACTTTGTAGTCCCCCTTCTCGACCAGGCGGGCGATGACTGCATCCAGGTCCAGGGCGGAGGTTTTTTGGGACAGAAGCTCGAACTTTGCCCTGCTCTCGCCCACCAGCGCAGCTCCTCAGAAGGGTGATTCCGGCTCAAAAGACTCTTACAGCCTTACAGCATGGCAAGAAGGCAGAAGAAGCAGAGCTCCTGTCGTCGGGTGGCATTCAGAGCCTTTTGGAGGCTCACGCGCTTGCATCTTCGACTCGGCGAGGAACTTCTGCAGCTTCTCCAACTTCTTCCTTTTCTCAACCTTCTTCTTCTCCTTGGGCTTCAATGTCTTTGCGGTGTCCGGGGGCGCTTCCGTCTCCTCTGGCAGCACGGCGTGAGATGAGCCCAGGCGTTGCTGGATAAGGCTCCCGGACTGGCATGCTTCGGCTTCGGCTCCGGCAACGGTCTCAGCGGAAACCGTCAAGAACGCGGTCAAGACAGCCACGATGCACGCAGCTTTCATGGCGATGATGTATCCGAGCTGGATACGCGGTAGGTGAGGGAAAGATGACAAGGCGGAATGCGAGATCTTGCTCGAGCCCGGACACGAGCACAAGACCTGAATCCCCTACAAAGTGATTCAGCAGGGGATGGGGAGGGATGGGGAGGGATCCGCAGTGATCTGTGCCAAGCGATAAGCGGCAAAACAGGAAATGCATAACGTGTCAATGATGAGCCCTGACGATTTCTATTCTTCAGACGCAAGTGAGCGCCAGAACTTTCTTTTCTGTTGCCAGCGGGAACTCCTTGCAAACTTCGAAGCTTTGAAACAAGGCTGCCAGCGGGAACTCCTTGGAAACTTTGCAGCTTTCAAAAAGGCTGCTAGTCGGGAACTCCCTGGAAACTTTTGCAGCTTTGATCAAATCTTCGGCACACACGCCGAAGCTTCGAAGTTATGGCGCGGCACGACTCTCAGGCTCTCAGATACCTGGCCAAGCCTCAGAATACGCAGACCGCGGCCGGCGAATGCACGAGGAATTCAAGCTGAAGAACCCTCGCCACACTCCGTTCCCTGAGGCCGCAACACCGCAACATGCCGCATCTCTCAGCGGCAGGGAGAGGGAGAGGGAGGAGTAGGAGGAGCCGGAGCAGTGAAACATCCACAGCCACAGCTGCATGCGCATCCACATGAGCATCCGCATCCGCACATCTTGGACAAGTTGGACAGTGGCCGCGGAAAGCAAACCCAGAGAACCCACAACAACAACTCACAAGCTTCTGAATTGCAGCGGCGAGGGGCACAAAGTGCCACATCCTCCTTGGCCCATGCGTCCTCGTTAACGCGACCGTAGAAGTCGCAAATCTGCATCTTGGTACTGACGAACATGTTGTCCATGGAGGATTTCTGCTCCTGCAGGCCCTGCTCGTTTAGGAGAAGGTTGGCCGGCTCGTGATGGAGGAAGTGGCCGAAGAGTGCCTGCGTGTCCGCGGCGTAGTTCTTGGTGTTCAAGATGTGGGCGTGCCAGGCATCATCCACCTTCTTCGACGGCACTGGCTGCAGGCCGGTGCCCACCAGGGCCAGGTATTTGCGGTACTCCTCTGCAAGCTCTGCTGCCTTCGTGGGCGAGTAGCCGTCCCTCTGCACCAGGACGGCAACCACAGGGGCCATATCCAGCGCTTTGACCTTCTCGGCAGAGGTGTTGAACCTGCGCATCTGCTGCAGCGACGGCTGGCTCCCCGATTGCTGGCACTCTGTGTGCTCAGTCGTGCCTGCAGCTCCAGCGCAAACGGATCTACCAAGGTGACTACTTATGATTTGGCAGAAGTCTACAAGAACTAAATACTTCCCCAAGGCACCCTCTCTCTGCGTCAGGCTTGCGACGCCAGTCAAGCCGGTGTCGTCCAAGTCAGCAGTGTCGTCCCGCAGGTCGCCCGTCCAGACCTTGATGTTCTGGATCTTGCCATCGGGGTTCACCTCGAGAATCAGGATTCCCATACGCGGGTGGGGCATGCTGTGCGAAACCTCGATCATGAAGGCACCTCCGTCCACAGACAGGAACTCTCGAGACGAGTCGGCATGCTCATAGCCGTGGAAGAAAGCCATCACCTCATCCTTTCCCTGGTAAACGATCGGATCCCCCAAGACGTTCTGCGCCACCAGGGTCAGGCGTGCGTCGGACGCTAGGAGCGCTTCTTTGGGATCGGGCTCGTTCAGGCTCTGCATCCACGTCTCCATGGCAGCTTTGGTCACACCGGCATCAGTCTGCCCGGCCTGGCCCACCGCCTGAGACAACTGTCACTTTAGAATCTTTCAAAATTCAGGATTCGGTCACAGCCGCATCGACAAGTCATGTCTCCACGAAGCCTGCACAACCCCAAAGGCCACTGAAACCTTTTCACGCTACAAGTATGTTCAGCTGCTCTCTGCTGAGATCCTGGCTTGCACTCCATTTGCGACATCCGTCAGCCCCGTGTCGTGCAGGTCTGCCGTGTCGTTTCTGAAAGTAGCCATCCAAACTTTGATGTCGAAGATCTTTCCTTCTTCGTTCACCTCGTAGATGTCGGCTCCCATGCGACCCATACGAGTGTGCCTCATCCTCTCAATGGCAAAAGCGCCAGGCTCAACGGAGAGGAATTCACGTGCCGTGGCGGCATGTCCCATTGTGTGGAAAAAGGACAGGACGTCGTCAATGCCATCGTGCGTTTTCGCTCTGTCCAAGTGCTGCGAAAGCACCATCAAGTGCACGTCCTCGGTCACAAGCTCATCACGCCAAAGAATGTTGTCATTGATATGCTCCAGCCACGCCTCCATCGTGTCCTTGGCTGCCTCAGCGATGTCCGTGCTCTGGGACAGAGCGACTGGCTTCGGTGCCTTCGACTTGGCCCAAACAAGTGGGTCCACCCTGCCGAAGTAGTCGCAGATCTGCTGCTTCGTTTGCTCCAGACGGCCCTCGTCCATTTGCTGGTTGAGGGGGTCGTGCTCCAAAAAGTGGCCAAAGACCGTCTCGCAGTCCTGCTCGTACATTTTCGTGTACCTAGTCACTGCGCGGCAAAAACCAGTAAATACAAAATTAAGAAACCTGGCTGAAAATCATGGAACATCAGCGTGCGGCAAGCACCTGGCGATGCCTAGCGAGAAAAAACATGCAGAAAACACCTGCATGTTCAGGGCTGGCGGCATGACGTGGGCCTGCCAGGCATCAAGGACCATCTTGGAGGCCAAGGGTGTCTTCCCCATGCCCATCAGCACGAGGAACTTCCGGTACTCATCAGCGGCCCTCTTCGCCTTCTCGACTTTGTAGTCACCCTTCTCGACGAGGCGGGCGATGACTGCATCCAGGTCCAGGGCGGAGGTTTTTTGGGACAGAAGCTCGAACTTTGCCCTGCTCTCGCCCACCAGTGCAGCTCCTCAGAAGGGTGATTCCGGCTCAAAAGACTCTTATAGCCTTACAGCATGGCAAGAAGGCAGAAGAAGCAGAGCTCCTGTCGTCGGGTGGCATTCAGAGCCTTTTGGAGGCTCACGGGCTTGCATCTTCGACTCGACAAGGAACTTCTGCAGCTTCTCCAACTTCTTCCTTTTCTCAACCTTCTTCTTCTCCTTGGGCTTCAATGTCTTTGCGGTGTCCGGGGGCGCTTCCGTCTCCTCGGGCAGCACGGCGTGAGATGAGCCCAGGCGTTGCTGGATAAGGCTCCCGGACTGGCATGCTTCGGCATCCGTTCCGGCAACGGTCTCAGCGGAAACCGTCAAGACAGCCGTCAAGACAGCCACGATGCACGCAGCTTTCATTGCCATGATGTATCCAAGCTGGATACGCGGTAGATGAGGGAAAGATGACAAGGCGATATGCGAGATCTTGCTCGAGCCCGGACACGAGCACAAGACCTGGATCCCCTGCAAAGTGGCTCAGCAGGGGATGGGGAGGAATGGGGAGGGGTCCGCAGTGATCTGTGCCAAGCGATAAGCGGCAAAACAGGAAATGCATAACGTGTCAATGATGAGCCCTGACGATTTCTATTCTTCAGATGCAAGTGAGCGCCAGAACTTTCTTTTCTGCTGCCAGAGGGAACTCCTTGCAAACTTCGACGCTTTGAAACAAGGCTGCCAGCGGGAACTCCTTTGAAACTTTGCAGCTTTCAAAAAAGGCTGCTAGTCGGGAACTCCCTGGAAACTTTTGCAGCTTTGAATCAAATCTTCGGCACACACGCCGAAGCTTCGAAGTTATGGCGCGGCATGACTCTCAGGCTCTCAGATACCTGGCCAAGCCTCAGAATACGCAGACAGCGGCCGGCGAATGCACGAGGAAAGCAAGCTGAAGAACCCTCGCCACACTCCGTTCCCTGAGGCCGCAGCACCGCAACATGCCGCATCTCTCAGCGGCAGGGAGAGGGAGAGGGAGGAGTAGGAGGAGCCGGAGCAGTGAAACATCCACAGCCACAGCTGCATGCGCATCCACATGAGCATCCGCATCCGCAAATCTTGGACAAGTTGGACAGTGGCCGCGGAAAGCAAACCCAGAGAACCCACAACAACAACTCACAAGCTGCTGAATTGCTGTGGCGAGGGGCACAAAGTGCCACATCCTCCTTGGCCCATGCGTCATCGTTAACGCGACCGTAGAAGTCGCAAATCTGCATCTTGGTACTGACGAACATGTTGTCCATGGAGGATTTCTGCTCCTGCAGGCCCTGCTCGTTTAGGAGAAGGTTGGCCGGCTCGTGATGGAGGAAGTGGCCGAAGAGTGCCTGCGTGTCCGCGGCGTAGTTCTTGGTGTTCAAGATGTGGGCGTGCCAGGCATCATCCACCTTCTTCGACGGCACTGGCTGCAGGCCGGTGCCCACCAGGGCCAGGTACTTGCGGTACTCCTCTGCAAGCTCTGCTGCCTTCGTGGGCAAGTAGCCGTCCCTCTGCACCAGGACGGCAACCACAGGGGCCATATCCAGCGCTTCGACCTTCTCGGCAGAGGCGTTGAACCTGCGCATCTGCTGCAGCGACGGCTGGCTCCCCGATTGCTGGCACTCTGTGTGCTCAGTCGTGCCTGCAGCCCCAGCGCAAACGGATCTACCAAGGTGACTACTTATGTTTTGGCAGAAGTCTACAAGAACTAAATACTTCCCCAAGGCACCCTCTCTCTGCGTCAGGCTTGCGACGCCAGTCAAGCCGCTGTCGTCCAAGTCAGCAGTGTCGTCCCGCAGGTCGCCCGTCCAGACCTTGATGTTCTGGATCTTGCCATCGGGGTTCACCTCGAGAATCAGGATTCCCATACGCGGGTGGGGCATGCTGTGCGAAACCTCGATCATGAAGGCACCTCCGTCCACAGACAGGAACTCTCGAGACGAGTCGGCATGCTCATAGCCGTGGAAGAAAGCCATCACCTCATCCTTTCCCTGGTATACGATCGGATCCCCCAAGACGTTCTGCGCCACCAGGGTCAGGCGTGCGTCGGAGGCTAGGAGCGCTTCTTTGGGATCGGGCTCGTTCAGGCTCTGCATCCACGTCTCCATGGCAGCTTTGGTCACACCGGCATCAGTCTGCCCGGCCTGGCCCACCGCCTGAGACAACTGTCACTTTAGAATCTTTCAAAATTCAGGATTCGGTCACAGCCGCATCGACAAGTCATGTCTCCACGAAGCCTGCACAACCCCAAAGGCCACTGAAACCTTTTCACGCTACAAGTATGTTCAGCTGCTCTCTGCTGAGATCCTGGCTTGCACTCCATTTGCGACATCCGTCAGCCCCGTGTCGTGCAGGTCTGCCGTGTCGTTTCTGAAAGTAGCCATCCAAACTTTGATGTCGAAGATCTTTCCTTCTTCGTTCACCTCGTAGATGTCGGCTCCCATGCGACCCATACGAGTGTGCCTCATCCTCTCAATGGCAAAAGCGCCAGGCTCAACGGAGAGGAATTCACGTGCCGTGGCGGCATGTCCCATTGTGTGGAAAAAGGACAGGACGTCGTCAATGCCATCGTGCGTTTTCGCTCTGTCCAAGTGCTGCGAAAGCACCATCAAGTGCACGTCCTCGGTCACAAGCTCATCACGCCAAAGAATGTTGTCATTGATATGCTCCAGCCACGCCTCCATCGTGTCCTTGGCTGCCTCAGCGATGTCCGTGCTCTGGGACAGAGCGACTGGCTTCGGTGCCTTCGACTTGGCCCAAACAAGTGGGTCCACCCTGCCGAAGTAGTCGCAGATCTGCTGCTTCGTTTGCTCCAGACGGCCCTCGTCCATTTGCTGGTTGAGGGGGTCGTGCTCCAAAAAGTGGCCAAAGACCGTCTCGCAGTCCTGCTCGTACATTTTCGTGTACCTAGTCACTGCGCGGCAAAAACCAGTAAATACAAAATTAAGAAACCTGGCTGAAAATCATGGAACATCAGCGTGCGGCAAGCACCTGGCGATGCCTAGCGAGAAAAAACATGCAGAAAACACCTGCATGTTCAGGGCTGGCGGCATGACGTGGGCCTGCCATGCATCAAGGACCATCTTGGAGGCCAAGGGTGTCTTGTCCATGCCCATCAACACGAGGAACTTCCGGTACTCGTCAGCGGCCCTCTTTGCCTTCTCGACTTTGTAGTCCCCCTTCTCGACCAGGCGGGCGATGACTGCATCCAGGTCCAGGGCGGAGGTTTTTTGGGACAGAAGCTCGAACTTTGCCCTGCTCTCGCCCACCAGCGCAGCTCCTCAGAAGGGTGATTCCGGCTCAAAAGACTCTTAAGTCTTACAGCCTTACAGCATGGCAAGAAGGCAGAAGAAGCAGAGCTCCTGTCGTCGGGTGGCATTCAGAGCCTTTTGGAGGCTCACGGGCTTGCATCTTCGACTCGACAAGGAACTTCTGCAGCTTCTCCAACTTCTTCCTTTTCTCAACCTTCTTCTTCTCCTTGGGCTTCAATGTCTTTGCGGTGTCCGGGGGCGCTTCCGTCTCCTCGGGCAGCACGGCGTGAGATGAGCCCAGGCGTTGCTGGATAAGGCTCCCGGACTGGCATGCTTCGGCATCCGTTCCGGCAACGGTCTCAGCAGAAACCGTCAAGAAAGCCGTCAAGACAGCCACGATGCACACAGCTTTCATTGCCATGATGTATCCAAGCTGGATACGCGGTAGATGAGGGAAAGATGACAAGGCGATATGCGAGATCTTGCTCGAGCCCGGACACGAGCACAAGACCTGGATCCCCTGCAAAGTGGCTCAGCAGGGGATGGGGAGGAATGGGGAGGGGTCCGCAGTGATCTGTGCCAAGCGATAAGCGGCAAAACAGGAAATGCATAACGTGTCGATTTTGAGCCCTGGCGCTTTGGATTCTTCAGATGCAAGTGAGCGCCACAACTTTCTTTTCTGCTGCCAGCGGGAACTCCTTGCAAACTTCGAAGCTTTGAAACAAGGCTGCCAGCGGGAACTCCTTGGAAACTTTGCAGCTTTCAAAAAAGGCTGCTAGTCGGGAACTCCCTGGAAACTTTTGCAGCTTTGAATCAAATCTTCGGCACACACGCCGAAGAATCGAAGTTATGGCGCGGCACGACTCTCAGGCTCTCAGATACATGGCCAAGCCTCAGAATACGCAGACCGCGGCCGGCGAATGCACGAGGAAAGCAAGCTGAAGAACCCTCGCCACACTCCGCTCCCTGAGGCCGCAGCACCGCAACATGCCGCATCTCTCAGCGGCAGGGAGAGGGAGAGGGAGGAGTAGGAGGAGCCGGAGCAGTGAAACATCCACAGCCACAGCTGCATGCGCATCCACATGAGCATCCGCATCCGCAAATCTTGGACAAGTTGGACAGTGGCCGCGGAAAGCAAACCCAGAGAACCCACAACAACAACTCACAAGCTGCTGAATTGCAGCGGCGAGGGACACAAAGTGCCACATCCTCCTTGGCCCATGCGTCCTCGTTAACGCGACCATAGAAGTCGCAAATCTGCATCTTGGTACTGACGAACATGTTGTCCATGGAGGATTTCTGCTCCTGCAGGCCCTGCTCGTTCAGGAGAAGGTTGGCCGGCTCGTGATGGAGGAAGTGGCCGAAGAGCGCCCGCGTGTCCGCGGCGTAGTTCTTGGTGTTCAAGATGTGGGCGTGCCAGGCATCATCCACCTTCTTCGACGGCACTGGCTGCAGGCCGGTGCCCACCAGGGCCAGGTATTTGCGGTACTCCTCTGCAAGCTCTGCTGCCTTCGTGGGCGAGTAGCCGTCCCTCTGCACCAGGACGGCAACCACAGGGGCCATATCCAGCGCTTTGACCTTCTCGGCAGAGGCGTTGAACCTGCGCATCTGCTGCAGCGACGGCTGGCTCCCCGATTGCTGGCACTCTGTGTGCTCAGTCGTGCCTGCAGCCCCAGCGCAAACGGATCTACCAAGGTGACTACTTATGTTTTGGCAGAAGTCTACAAGAACTAAATACTTCCCCAAGGCACCCTCTCTCTGCGTCAGGCTTGCGACGCCAGTCAAGCCGCTGTCGTCCAAGTCAGCAGTGTCGTCCCGCAGGTCGCCCGTCCAGACCTTGATGTTCTGGATCTTGCCATCGGGGTTCACCTCGAGAATCAGGATTCCCATACGCGGGTGGGGCATGCTGTGCGAAACCTCGATCATGAAGGCACCTCCGTCCACAGACAAGAACTCTCGAGACGAGTCGGCATGCTCATAGCCGTGGAAGAAAGCCATCACCTCATCCTTTCCCTGGTATACGATCGGATCCCCCAAGACGTTCTGCGCCACCAGGGTCAGGCGTGCGTCGGAGGCTAGGAGCGCTTCTTTGGGATCGGGCTCGTTCAGGCTCTGCATCCACGTCTCCATGGCAGCTTTGGTCACACCGGCATCAGTCTGCCCGGCCTGGCCCACCGCCTGAGACAACTGTCACTTTAGAATCTTTCAAAATTCAGGATTCGGTCACAGCCGCATCGACAAGTCATGTCTCCACGAAGCCTGCACAACCCCAAAGGCCACTGAAACCTTTTCACGCTACAAGTATGTTCAGCTGCTCTCTGCTGAGATCCTGGCTTGCACTCCATTTGCGACATCCGTCAGCCCCGTGTCGTGCAGGTCTGCCGTGTCGTTTCTGAAAGTAGCCATCCAAACTTTGATGTCGAAGATCTTTCCTTCTTCGTTCACCTCGTAGATGTCGGCTCCCATGCGACCCATACGAGTGTGCCTCATCCTCTCAATGGCAAAGGCGCCAGGCTCAACGGAGAGGAATTCACGTGCCGTGGCGGCATGTCCCATTGTGTGGAAAAAGGACAGGACGTCGTCAATGCCATCGTGCGTTTTCGCTCTGTCCAAGTGCTGCGAAAGCACCATCAAGTGCACGTCCTCGGTCACAAGCTCATCACGCCAAAGAATGTTGTCATTGATATGCTCCAGCCACGCCTCCATCGTGTCCTTGGCTGCCTCGGCGATGTCCGTGCTCTGGGACAGAGCGACTGGCTTCGGTGCCTTCGAGGACTTGGCCCAAACAAGTGGGTCCACCCTGCCGAAGTAGTCGCAGATCTGCTGCTTCGTTTGCTCCAGACGGCCCTCGTCCATTTGCTGGTTGAGGGGGTCGTGCTCCAAAAAGTGGCCGAAGACCGTCTCGCAGTCCTGCTCGTACATTTTCGTGTACCTAGTCACTGCGCGGCAAAAACCAATAAATACAAATTTAAGAAGCCTGGCTGAAAATCATGGAACATCAGCGTGCGGCAAGCACCTGGCGATGCCTAGCGAGAAAAAACATGCAAAAAACACCTGCATGTTCAGGGCTGGCGGCATGACGTGGGCCTGCCAGGCATCAAGGACCATCTTGGAGGCCAAGGGTGTCTTCCCCATGCCCATCAGCACGAGGAACTTCCGGTACTCATCAGCGGCCCTCTTCGCCTTCTCGACTTTGTAGCCCCCCTTCTCGACCAGGCGGGCGATGACTGCATCCAGGTCCAGGGCGGAGGTTTTTTGGGACAGAAGCTCGAACTTTGCCCTGCTCTCGCCCACCAGCGCAGCTCCTCAGAAGGGTGATTCCGGCTCAAAAGACTCTTATAGCCTTACAGCATGGCAAGAAGGCAGAAGAAGCAGAGCTCCTGTCGTCGGGTGGCATTCAGAGCCTTTTGGAGGCTCGCGCGCTTGCATCTTCGACTCGGCGAGGAACTTCTGCAGCTTCTCCAACTTCTTCCTTTTCTCAACCTTCTTCTTCTCCTTGGGCTTCAATGTCTTTGCGGTGTCCGGGGGCGCTTCCGTCTCCTCGGGCAGCACGGCGTGAGATGAGCCCAGGCGTTGCTGGATAAGGCTCCCGGACTGGCATGCTTCGGCATCCGTTCCGGCAACGGTCTCAGCGGAAACCGTCAAGACAGCCGTCAAGACAGCCACGATGCACGCAGCTTTCATTGCCATGATGTATCCAAGCTGGATACGCGGTAGATGAGGGAAAGATGACAAGGCGATATGCGAGATCTTGCTCGAGCCCGGACACGAGCACAAGACCTGAATCCCCTGCAAAGTGGCTCAGCAGGAGATGGGGAGGAATGGGGAGGGGTCCGCAGTGATCTGTGCCAAGCGATAAGCGGCAAAACAGGAAATGCATAACGTGTCGATTTTGAGCCCTGGCGCTTTGGATTCTTCAGATGCAAGTGAGCGCCACAACTTTCTTTTCTGCTGCCAGCGGGAACTCCTTGCAAACTTCGAAGCTTTGAAACAAGGCTGCCAGCGGGAACTCCTTTGAAACCTTGCAGCTTTCAAAAAAGGCTGCTAGTCGGGAACTCCCTGGAAACTTTTGCAGCTTTGAATCAAATCTTCGGCACACACGCCGAAGCTTCGAAGTTATGGCGCGGCATGACTCTCAGGCTCTCAGATACCTGGCCAAGCCTCAGAATACGCAGACCGCGGCCGGCGAATGCACGAGGAAAGCAAGCTGAAGAACCCTCGCCACACTCCGCTCCCTGAGGCCGCAGCACCGCAACATGCCGCATCTCTCAGCGGCAGGGAGAGGGAGAGGGAGGAGTAGGAGGAGCCGGAGCAGTGAAACATCCACAGCCACAGCTGCATGCGCATCCACATGAGCATCCGCATCCGCAAATCTTGGACAAGTTGGACAGTGGCCGCGGAAAGCAAACCCAGAGAACCCACAACAACAACTCACAAGCTGCTGAATTGCAGCGGCGAGGGACACAAAGTGCCACATCCTCCTTGGCCCATGCGTCCTCGTTAACGCGACCATAGAAGTCGCAAATCTGCATCTTGGTACTGACGAACATGTTGTCCATGGAGGATTTCTGCTCCTGCAGGCCCTGCTCGTTCAGGAGAAGGTTGGCCGGCTCGTGATGGAGGAAGTGGCCGAAGAGCGCCTGCGTGTCCGCGGCGTAGTTCTTGGTGTTCAAGATGTGGGCGTGCCAGGCATCATCCACCTTCTTCGACGGCACTGGCTGCAGGCCGGTGCCCACCAGGGCCAGGTATTTGCGGTACTCCTCTGCAAGCTCTGCTGCCTTCGTGCGCTTGTAGCCGTCCCTCTGCACCAGGACGGCAACCACAGGGGCCATATCCAGCGCTTTGACCTTCTCGGCAGAGGCGTTGAACCTGCGCATCTGCTGCAGCGACGGCTGGCTCCCCGATTGCTGGCACTCTGTGTGCTCAGTCGTGCCTGCAGCCCCAGCGCAAACGGATCTACCAAGGTGACTACTTATGTTTTGGCAGAAGTCTACAAGAACTAAATACTTCCCCAAGGCACCCTCTCTCTGCGTCAGGCTTGCGACGCCAGTCAAGCCGCTGTCGTCCAAGTCAGCAGTGTCGTCCCGCAGGTCGCCCGTCCAGACCTTGATGTTCTGGATCTTGCCATCGGGGTTCACCTCGAGAATCAGGATTCCCATACGCGGGTGGGGCATGCTGTGCGAAACCTCGATCATGAAGGCACCTCCGTCCACAGACAAGAACTCTCGAGACGAGTCGGCATGCTCATAGCCGTGGAAGAAAGCCATCACCTCATCCTTTCCCTGGTATACGATCGGATCCCCCAAGACGTTCTGCGCCACCAGGGTCAGGCGTGCGTCGGAGGCTAGGAGCGCTTCTTTGGGATCGGGCTCGTTCAGGCTCTGCATCCACGCCTCCATGGCAGCTTTGGTCACACCGGCATCAGTCTGCCCGGCCTGGCCCACCGCCTGAGACAACTGTCACTTTAGAATCTTTCAAAATTCAGGATTCGGTCACAGCCGCACCGACAAGTCATGTCTCCACGAAGCCTGACTGACAACCCCGAAGGCCACTGAAGCCTGTGCACGATACAAGTATGTTCAGCTGCTTTCTGCTGAGATCCTGGCTTGCACTCCATTTGCGACATCCGTCAGCCCCGCGTCGTGCAGGTCTGCCGTGTCGTTTCTGAAAGTAGCCATCCAAACTTTGATGTCGAAGATCTTGCCTTCTTCGTTCACCTCGTAGATGTCGGCTCCCATGCGACCCATACGAGTGTGCCTCATCCTCTCAATGGCAAAGGCGCCAGGCTCAACGGAGAGGAATTCACGTGCCGTGGCGGCATGTCCCATTGTGTGGAAAAAGGACAGGACGTCGTCAATGCCATCGTGCGTTTTCGCTCTGTCCAAGTGCTGCGAAAGCACCATCAAGTGCACGTCCTCTGTCACAAGCTCATCACGCCAAAGAATGTTGTCATTGATATGCTCCAGCCACGCCTCCATCGTGTCCTTGGCTGCCTGAGCGATGTCCGTGCTCTGGGACAGAGCGACTGGCTTCGGCGCCTTCGACTTGGCCCAAACAAGTGGGTCCACCCTGCCGAAGTAGTCGCAGATCTGCTGCTTCGTTTGCTCCAGACGGCCCTCGTCCATTTGCTGGTTGAGGGGGTCGTGCTCCAAAAAGTGGCCGAAGACCGTCTCGCAGTCCTGCTCGTACATTTTCGTGTACCTAGTCACTGCGCGGCAAAAACCAATAAATACAAATTTAAGAAACCTGGCTGAAAATCATGGAACATCAGCGTGCGGCAAGCACCTGGCGATGCCTAGCGAGAAAAAACATGCAAAAAACACCTGCATGTTCAGGGCTGGCGGCATGACGTGGGCCTGCCAGGCATCAAGGACCATCTTGGAGGCCAAGGGTGTCTTCCCCATGCCCATCAGCACGAGGAACTTCCGGTACTCATCAGCGGCCCTCTTCGCCTTCTCGACTTTGTAGTCCCCCTTCTCGACGAGGCGGGCGATGACTGCATCCAGGTCCAGGGCGGAGGTTTTTTGGGACAGAAGCTCGAACTTTGCCCTGCTCTCGCCCACCAGCGCAGCTCCTCAGAAGGGTGATTCCGGCTCAAACGACTCTTATAGCCTTACAGCATGGCAAGAAGGCAGAAGAAGCAGAGCTCCTGTCGTCGGGTGGCATTCAGAGCCTTTTGGAGGCTCACGCGCTTGCATCTTCGACTCGGCGAGGAACTTCTGCAGCTTCTCCAACTTCTTCCTTTTCTCAACCTTCTTCTTCTCCTTGGGCTTCAATGTCTTTGCAGTGTCCAGGGGCGCTTCCGTCTCCTCGGGCAGCACGGCGTGAGATGAGCCCAGGCGTTGCTGGATAAGGCTCCCGGACTGGCATGCTTCGGCATCCGTTCCGGCAACGGTCTCAGCGGAAACCGTCAAGAAAGCCGTCAAGACAGCCACGATGCACGCAGCTTTCATTGCCATGATGTATCCAAGCTGGATACGCGGTAGATGAGGGAAAGATGACAAGGCGATATGCGAGATCTTGCTCGAGCCCGGACACGAGCACAAGACCTGGATCCCCTGCAAAGTGGCTCAGCGGGGGATGGGGAGGAATGGGGAGGGGTCCGCAGTGATCTGTGCCAAGCGACAAGCGGCAAAACAGGAAATGCATAACGTGTCAATTTTGAGCCCTGGCGCTTTGGATTCTTCAGATGCAAGTGAGCGCCAGAACTTTCTTTTCTGCTGCCAGAGGGAACTCCTTGCAAACTTCGACGCTTTGAAACAAGGCTGCCAGCGGGAACTCCTTTGAAACTTTGCAGCTTTCAAAAAAGGCTGCTAGTCGGGAACTCCCTGGAAACTTTTGCAGCTTTGAATCAAATCTTCGGCACACACGCCGAAGCTTCGAAGTTATGGCGCGGCATGACTCTCAGGCTCTCAGATACCTGGCCAAGCCTCAGAATACGCAGACAGCGGCCGGCGAATGCACGAGGAAAGCAAGCTGAAGAACCCTCGCCACACTCCGTTCCCTGAGGCCGCAGCACCGCAACATGCCGCATCTCTCAGCGGCAGGGAGAGGGAGAGGGAGGAGTAGGAGGAGCCGGAGCAGTGAAACATCCACAGCCACAGCTGCATGCGCATCCACATGAGCATCCGCATCCGCAAATCTTGGACAAGTTGGACAGTGGCCGCGGAAAGCAAACCCAGAGAACCCACAACAACAACTCACAAGCTGCTGAATTGCAGCGGCGAGGGACACAAAGTGCCACATCCTCCTTGGCCCATGCGTCCTCGTTAACGCGACCATAGAAGTCGCAAATCTGCATCTTGGTACTGACGAACATGTTGTCCATGGAGGATTTCTGCTCCTGCAGGCCCTGCTCGTTCAGGAGAAGGTTGGCCGGCTCGTGATGGAGGAAGTGGCCGAAGAGCGCCTGCGTGTCCGCGGCGTAGTTCTTGGTGTTCAAGATGTGGGCGTGCCAGGCATCATCCACCTTCTTCGACGGCACTGGCTGCAGGCCGGTGCCCACCAGGGCCAGGTATTTGCGGTACTCCTCTGCAAGCTCTGCTGCCTTCGTGCGCTTGTAGCCGTCCCTCTGCACCAGGACGGCAACCACAGGGGCCATATCCAGCGCTTTGACCTTCTCGGCAGAGGCGTTGAACCTGCGCATCTGCTGCAGCGACGGCTGGCTCCCCGATTGCTGGCACTCTGTGTGCTCAGTCGTGCCTGCAGCCCCAGCGCAAACGGATCTACCAAGGTGACTACTTATGTTTTGGCAGAAGTCTACAAGAACTAAATACTTCCCCAAGGCACCCTCTCTCTGCGTCAGGCTTGCGACGCCAGTCAAGCCGCTGTCGTCCAAGTCAGCAGTGTCGTCCCGCAGGTCGCCCGTCCAGACCTTGATGTTCTGGATCTTGCCATCGGGGTTCACCTCGAGAATCAGGATTCCCATACGCGGGTGGGGCATGCTGTGCGAAACCTCGATCATGAAGGCACCTCCGTCCACAGACAGGAACTCTCGAGACGAGTCGGCATGCTCATAGCCGTGGAAGAAAGCCATCACCTCATCCTTTCCCTGGTATACGATCGGATCCCCCAAGACGTTCTGCGCCACCAGGGTCAGGCGTGCGTCGGAGGCTAGGAGCGCTTCTTTGGGATCGGGCTCGTTCAGGCTCTGCATCCACGTCTCCATGGCAGCTTTGGTCACACCGGCATCAGTCTGCCCGGCCTCACCCACCGCCTGAGACAACTGTCACTTCAGAATCTTTCAAAATTCAGGATTCGGTCACAGCTGCACCGACAAGTCATGTCTCCACGAAGCCTGATAACCCCGAAGGCCACTGGAACCTTTGCACGATACAAGTATTTTCAGCTGCTTTCTGCTGAGATCCTGGCTTGCACTCCATTTGCGACATCCGTCAGCCCCGCGTCGTGCAGGTCTGCCGTGTCGTTTCTGAAAGTAGCCATCCAAACTTTGATGTCGAAGATCTTGCCTTCTTCGTTCACCTCGTAGATGTCGGCTCCCATGCGACCCATACGAGTGTGCCTCATCCTCTCAATGGCAAAGGCGCCAGGCTCAACGGAGAGGAATTCACGTGCCGTGGCGGCATGTCCCATTGTGTGGAAAAAGGACAGGACGTCGTCAATGCCATCGTGCGTTTTCGCTCTGTCCAAGTGCTGCGAAAGCACCATCAAGTGCACGTCCTCTGTCACAAGCTCATCACGCCAAAGAATGTTGTCATTGATATGCTCCAGCCACGCCTCCATCGTGTCCTTGGCTGCCTGAGCGATGTCCGTGCTCTGGGACAGAGCGACTGGCTTCGGCGCCTTCGACTTGGCCCAAACAAGTGGGTCCACCCTGCCGAAGTAGTCGCAGATCTGCTGCTTCGTTTGCTCCAGACGGCCCTCGTCCATTTGCTGGTTGAGGGGGTCGTGCTCCAAAAAGTGGCCGAAGACAGTCTCGCAGTCCTGCTCGTACATTTTCGTGTACCTAGTCACTGCGCGGCAAAAACCAATAAATACAAATTTAAGAAACCTGGCTGAAAATCATGGAACATCAGCGTGCGGCAAGCACCTGGCGATGCCTAGCGAGAAAAAACATGCAAAAAACACCTGCATGTTCAGGGCTGGCGGCATGACGTGGGCCTGCCAGGCATCAAGGACCATCTTGGAGGCCAAGGGTGTCTTCCCCATGCCCATCAGCACGAGGAACTTCCGGTACTCATCAGCGGCCCTCTTCGCCTTCTCGACTTTGTAGTCCCCCTTCTCGACGAGGCGGGCGATGACTGCATCCAGGTCCAGGGCGGAGGTTTTTTGGGACAGAAGCTCGAACTTTGCCCTGCTCTCGCCCACCAGCGCAGCTCCTGAGAAGGGTGATTCCGGCTCAAAAGACTCTTATAGCCTTACAGCATGGCAAGAAGGCAGAAGAAGCAGAGCTCCTGTCGTCGGGTGGCATTCAGAGCCTTTTGGAGGCTCACGGGCTTGCATCTTCGACTCGGCGAGGAACTTCTGCAGCTTCTCCAACTTCTTCCTTTTCTCAACCTTCTTCTTCTCCTTGGGCTTCAATGTCTTTGCAGTGTCCAGGGGCGCTTCCGTCTCCTCGGGCAGCACGGCATGAGATGAGCCCAGGCGTTGCTGGATAAGGCTCCCGGACTGGCATGCTTCGGCATCCGTTCCGGCAACGGTCTCAGCGGAAACCGTCAAGAAAGCCGTCAAGACAGCCACGATGCACGCAGCTTTCATTGCCATGATGTATCCGAGCTGGATACGCGGTAGATGAGGGAAAGATGACAAGGCGATAAGCGAGATCTTGCTCGAGCCCGGACACGAGCACAAGACCTGAATCCCCTACAAAGTGACTCAGCAGGGGATGGGGAGGGATGGGGAGGGATCCGCAGTGATCTGTGCGGCCAGCCGGAATTTTTGCAAACATGAAGCTTCGAAATATGGCTCCTTCACAGACGCCCAAGCTTGGAAGTCATGGCGCGGCACGACTCTCAGATACTTGGCCAAGCCTCAGAAATGCAGACCGCGGCCGGCGAGTGCACGAGCAAAGCAAACTGAAGAACTCGCCATACTCCGTTCCCTGAAGCCACAATGTTCCAACCACATGCGCACAGCGGCAAGGGGCGCAAAGCGCCGAGGCAGGCCGGGGGCTTCCTAGCAGAAGTGTCGCATCCCCAAAGCTGGCAGCAGTGTGCATCCAGATGTGCATTGCCAGCACTGTGTAGGTAAGCATTTGGTGCAGGAAGCGGAAAGATTCTTTGAGAACTCCGGGAATATTCACCCCTGCAAGCAAAATTTTGATAGAACGTGTCGGCCGTGCACACATAAAGTTTTCAGGCTGCCCGCCTGTGGACCATCTGCGGCATTCAGTTGTGCCAGCATAGCCTGCAGGACAAGAGGAGACGAAGACACGCTACCTTTGAGATTGAAGCGCTGGACTCAACTATTGCACTTTAAGCTGCTAGCTGCTAGTGGCTCTTCGGGGATATATGCTACGGCTAACGAATGGAGGCGAGCAACGAAATCTAAGTCCGGCGGCCTCAATTGCAGGAATACCGTCGGAGCCTCCTTCTCCGGGTATCACTTCCTGGACTCCCGCGATGCTCAAGCCACAAGAAACTTACCACTGTTTCGGGCCCATCTGCCACGGGATGGCACGACGATCCCAGGCTTCTTCCTTTCGACTCCTCTTAGTTTCTCTTCTTTCTGCGCGTTGGCATAAACATTCAGTTTAGGGATGGTCCAGGCTCTGAGATTCTGAGGGCATCCAGCAGGAGAGATACCTATGCAGTTTAGGGGTTTAGGACTTAGGGGTTTTCGGGTTTAGGCTTTACAGTTTAGGGACAAGGGGTTTAGGGTTTAGGGGTCAGGGTACCACTGCCTTGCCTCGTGGCTCCTTCTCTGTTTCTCTCTTTCCTCCTCTTGGTTTTGTCTTGTGGCGCAACTCAAAAAAATTCTTGCTGCCATATGTCCAAATACATACAATCAACCGGGGTATAGTCACCACTAGTCACCTACCCCGACTGCAATGGTGCCCGACCAGTCGCGGCAACCCACTTCAACCGGAGTGGACCAACAGCGACATCAACCGCCGAGCTAGGGAGCAACCAGCAACACAAATACCTACTCCGGACGAAGAGGATACGATCCGCGGAGCTTGTTTAGGACGCGGGTGGAGGATGAAAAAAACGCAATAGTGTCTGCCCTCGCACCTTCAGTCGAGTTACGGATGAGAATGAGAATGACCCACAGCCAATACTCCTTCTACATCTGCAACACAAAGCCTGTAGTCGAATCCTTGTAAGATGGAGACCGTAATGTGTCGCGAAGACGTGCAACTGCACAAAGCCGCTCCGCTCCTGAGACAGCAGCAATAGGGCCTACCCTTAAATGTTTAAACCCGCCCAAGCTTGACAACTAGGCTTCCACAAGGCACTTTACCAAATAAGAGCAGCTCTTCAAGCTTACAGCAGGCACCTGGCGACGCGTCCGGTTCTTTCCGCCGTCCAAGCAAATTCAATCCTGGAAGCCCCTTATAACACTCCAAATATCATGAATCATGATCCTACAGGGACCCTCAAAATGCAGGACTTCTAACTCTTTTAAAAGCTGTTCTGCAAGCCCCCATAGGGTGGATGTTGGGAATCCATTTTCAGTTTATCGGCCTTCGATTCTTTCTCATAGGGCTTGGTAAGTAAGTTCGAGGGGTGATTTGAGGGTTTGTGTTGGGCTTGAGGTCTGAGACTGGGAAATACCCACCAATGCCAGCTCCTTACACCATCTTAAAACGCCGCAGCAACATGGGAAATCTCCAGAACGCCGCTTTCAAGATCCACTGCATACCCGCATGCCCGCATGCTACTACAAATATCGTGGATTTTCGGATAAGGACCTGAAGTGTACGGCATCTCTTGTCACCTGTGTAAGCTAAGGCCGCAACGAAGGAGGCTGTGTAGCAAGTGAAATGGCAAGGTTGCCTTGACTCCAGTTTGCACATCGCAGGTTGAGGATTTAGGATGATTTGGAATTGTTGCGGGTCCAACAGCCATGAAGTAAGACTGCTTCTTACGTAACAAAACAAGGCACGAAGGACAAGGAAGGTCGGACTCAAGCTTCCATGTTCACGGCAAACCGAGCATTTGATATACTCGTTTCCATGGGCCTTCAACTAGCAACCTTTCTGACGTCTCGTACCGGTCATACCGTCCGTTGAAAAATGGAGTCTCCGAAATCGCATGCCACCAGCGGGAAACAAAGATAGATGCGTGACCCCAGAGTAAGTTCCAAGCTCCAATCTTTCGGTGGTGATTTAGGTGGGTAGCTACCTAGCCAGCTGGATAGCTGGGTAGGCAGGTCGGTCGGCAGTTTGGTCGATGGTAGGTCGGTAAGTGGGTCGGTCGGTCCGGTAGCGGGTGGATCGTAGGGCGGCAAGTCGGCAGGTCGCTAGGTCGCCAGGTCGCTGGGTCGCTAGGTCGTTATTTCGTTAGGCGGGTAGGTCGGTTGGTCGGTTGGTCGGTTCGTCGGTTGGTCGGTTGGTCGGTTGGTCGGTTGGTCGGTTGGTCGGTTGGTGGAGGTCGGTAGGTCGGTAGGGCTTAAATCCTTAGGGTTTTCGTCTTCACTTTTTGGATCATAGACAGCCTGACATTCAGCAATCCATGAGCGAGCGCGTGCAAGTTCCAATTTTGGCATTATGTTCCAAAGTTGCGAACATTCTGACTGGACCGGCCGGAAAAACAGCGTGGATGTCATCAAGTTTGGGCCATGGATGATATGGACATCATTATGCTTGGGGGTGGGGGGCACCTTTGGGGGAGGGAAACAACCTAACCTAAACTTAAACCCTAAGCCCAGCTTCCCCTGATTAGGGGATCTAAACCCAATAAGAACGACTAAGGCTGGGCCCCTAAACCCGACCTAGCCCGCTTTCCCCTAAAATTTGGGGAGCAAGGCCCTAAACCCTATGCCGGGTTTCCCCTGCAAAATTGGGGACCTCGGCGAAACCCTATGCCTGGTTTCCCTCTTCGGGGGGGCCTAGGCAGGTATGTCCTAAACCCTAAACCAAACCCTGAAACGAAACCACCCCCACACGCAAACCGCAACCCCATGAATGGGGGGGGCGGGGGCGGGTTGGGAGGGAGGGTTTGAGCCAACACAAACACGCCTATATACAGAAGCATGGGGAGGCGTCAATGCTCGAGTGTGCGATTCAGGTCCTTTGACGATCCATGGGGTCATACCACTGACTAGCGATGTGGTCGTCGGGCCCACGTCCACGGATCTCTCTGCAATACTGGAGCGGCCGTAGTAATCAATTGCACTTTCCTCGCTGCCATGCTGAAAGGGTCGCAGTAATTACAGTTTATATCTCAGCTTCTATCTCTCCTAACTAGTAGTTCCAGTTCTTCTCTTTCAGCGACACTGGAAGCCTCGCAATTACTACAGTTTCTTTCTCTGCAATACTGGAGCGGTTGTGATTATTGCAGATTCTGTCTCTCTGCAACACTGGAACGGTCGTGGCAATTGCAATTCCCCTCTCTTTGCAACATTGGAGCGGTCGTAGTGACTGCAGTTTCTTACTGCTTGCAATACTGGAGCGGTCGTAGTAATTGCAGTTCCTCTCTCTCTTTCTGCAATACATGTTCCAACTTTCACTTTGGCGGGTTTCTAACCATGTTCCAACATTAGCCTCCGAGATCAAAGTTGGAACCTGTGGCTTGGGGCCAATTTGCTCCTGTGGACACGTTCCAACTTACCGGCTTCCACCATAGAGGGAGAACACCGGCAAAGAACCCGAACAACACAAAACAGGCTGCGAAGGGGCGTTTTGGGCTCCGGGCTGTTTGGCCGGACCGGACTCTGATCTGTTTCGGGCTGCGCTGTCCGGGCGGTCTGAGCAGCGCTCGTTTGAAGCCCGGACAGCTCGGGACAGCCCAGACACTCGGACACCTTTCGTCCGGCTGTTCGGACTGTCTCAGCGTCGGGCTGTCCGGGTTTGGGTTGTCCAATTTAACGGCGTCTTGGGCCCCTGGCGGTGTTGCCGGACTCTGATCTGTTTCGGGCTGCGCTGCGCGGGTGGGCGTGTCCGGGCTGTTTCCCGTCTGATCGTCGTGACTGTCCGGGCATCCTGTGGGCTTGTCCGGGCTGTTGCCCGGGTTGATAGTCGTGACTGTCCGGGCTTCCTGTGGGCTTGTCCGGGCTGTTGTCCGGGCTTATCGTCGTGACTGTCCGGGCATCCTGTAGGCTTGTCCGGGCTGTTGCCCGGGTTGATAGTCGTGACTGTCCGAACTTCCTGTGGGCTTGTCCGGGCTGTTGCCCGGGCTGATCTTCGTGATTGTCCGGGGTTCATATGGGCTTGTACGGGCTGTTGTCCAGGCTGATCGTCGTGACTGCTCGGGCTTTCCGTGACCTTGTCCGGACTGTTGTCCGGGCTGATCGTCGTGACTGTCCGGGCTTCCTGTGGGCTTGTCCGGGCTGTCCGGGCTGTTGCCCGGGCTGATCTTCGTGACTGTCCGGGCTTCATATGGGCTTGTACGGGCTGTTGTCCGGGCGGATCGTCGTGACTGTTCGGGCTTTCTGTGACCTTGTCCGGACTGTTGTCCGGGCTGATCGTCGTGACTGTCCGGGCTTCCTGTGGGCTTGTCCGGGCTGTCCAGGCTGTTGCCCGGGCTGATCTTCGTGACTGTCCGGGCTTCATATGGGCTTGTACGGGCTGTTGTCCGGGCGGATCGTCGTGACTGTTCGGG